TTCAAAACATTATTTGAGTATGAAAAAATATATTATTCTAATAAAAAATAGAAATGTATTCAAAAGATAAACCATTAAAAGGCATTAATCATAAAGTGGTTTAAAAGGAAAAAAAGTGAAGATTTAAAGCAAATAAATTGTAGATGAAGAAAAATCTGCGAAGACAAAAAATCGTTGACAGCTATTTGTCAAATCCACAGAATATATTAAGCGGATAATCATTTCATTTTTAACTGTCTTGATATACAATGTGTCTGCAGAATATTTAAAACATTTTAAAAATTTTGGAAAAACATTTTATATATTTGATACTTTTCTATATTTTTATATTCATAATAAAAGCAGACTGTATACTTTCCTAAAACATTTTCGTTTTTAACGCGTCGAAGTTTTCATCGCCCCGAGGATGTGCGAATGCGTATCATCCGACGTGATGCGTCCGCATAGAAATAAAAATATTCGCGAATGTCGCTGACGTGTGACGTATAATTTATTCTCCTTCGGGATACGCCGGGATGCGAAGGATAGATATACACATACGACACAACGAAATCGATCGGCATCCGGGAGCATCCACTTTCAGCATAGCACCAAGAGCCTCGAGCGTATTCTTATCCTCCGGCCCGAGAGTCCCGAGAGTCCTGAGACTCGACTTCCAGCTCCCTTAAGGGTGTCAATGTCGCCTCGCACACTGGGAGTATAGCATTTTTTGCGTACGATTTAAAAACCCCTTAAAGCCAATGGACAAATAATCGAATAGCTTAAAGTGTTACTAATCTGTACTACTAGTTGAAGAAGACACATATAGATGGCGTAGAAAGATTACATGAGTACTATGTGAGTTGTCAAGTTTTATTTTTAGCTTACGAATGTCGGACAAAGTGAAAAACTTGATAGTTCGACGCACTTGACACGACGCGAGTTGGAATGAATGCTTGTAATGCTACTTGACCTTATTACACCTGGAAACGTGTGTGAACATATGACAAAATGGCGCCTACATTTGTAATCCTATAGTGTGTACATTTCTACACACATTTTTTCAATTTTTTTTTGACACAGTATAGAAGTTGAATAATGACGCCATTTTGTATTTTACGAGTGAAATTTTACTAGTGCATATTTTAAGTAAAGTTGAAAGTGTCTTAGAAGTTTTTCCGTGTTTTTCGTGTTACAACACTTTTCTCCTTCATCATAAAAGTGTTTGCGACACTAGCAGGGGGTTAAAACAAGTGGAATGATCTTCAAGGGGTAACTTTGCCGCATGCGGGAAAATTTCCCACACCGCACCCAAGGAAATGCGGAAAATCCTGTGAGAATTTCGCGCTTATCTCGTTACAGCTGTGACTACTTTACTCGCCTGCGCTAGCTTAGCATATTACATCCGTGGCCACGTTGTCTATTGCAATTTTCGAAATTTGCCGCAGACTCGCGTCTCGAATCTTTGCGAAATTTCACGTACCGCGTTTTACGTTTTATAAATGACGTGCATTCTTCATCATGTGATAAAACTGACAAAAATTCACCCACAAAAATGATACAATAAAATATCTTGAAATGAAAAATGTTCATAAAAATTCATAACAAAATTTTACTTTTACACTTGGCGTAAAAAAATTGATAGCTGTGCTTGTTGAGTGTGAAGTGAAAATCTAAACAATAAAATATATAAATAAACATTGTGCGTGAACAGAATTGCGTGAATGTATGTAAATGTTTGACGAGCAGGAAAATGTTCAACACAATTTTCACATATGTGTATACAAACATCTGCTGCCTGCGTCAAAAAATATCCAAAAACAAAAACAAATAAATATCACATTTGAACATGTTTTATATTCATGCAGTTATTCTTCGAAAAAAATACAAGAATTATTTTTATATCACTTTTATATTACACTATATCACAATTAATGGTAGTAAATTAATATTTCCGTAAAAAATCCGTAAAAATTAAAATAAACTCTGATCATAAAAGTCATGAGTAAAGCTGCTAACATGTTATCATCAAAAAGTACTTATTATACTTTTCAACAAAACGGTGGGATGAAAAAATTCAACGCTGTCTGAAACTCTCGCAGCAAAAAAAGGGATTTTTTTCGTTCGTATTTGTATGCGCTGGAAATCACACCAAAATCCGTAAAGTTGGAAATTATGTGGGCGCTAACATGTCACTCATGTCATATCTCCATACAGAAACGAGAAACGAACGCAACGATAAAGGACGCTAAAAATCCGAGTATCAAAACGGACTTTATCGCGATGCATACACTTCAGAGAGAAAAAAAATACAACAACATGCGCGCATTTTTTGTAATTTTCTGAGTTTTGTTTTGTGCTCTTTTTGGATTCGCGCATAAAGTATGTTTACTAATATAGAGTGAAAACTGTGAATTTTCTGCGCGGAAAAGTTTTGATTACACGCTGTTCTCAATTAAAACTGTGTTTATTCTTTTGTATATTTTTAACGCAAGCTTTGGTTTTTCGTTTTTTCTTGTTCTGGTTTTTAATTAAATTTTTTACTTCTGTTTTTGACTCGAAGGCGTTTAATTTGCGGCCCGTCGAATCGATGCTTAGGCATGCTCTGTAATTTTCTTCGGAAACTTTTGTGACTCGTTCGACTTTTCACTTTTTTCGGTTTCTAGGGTTTGCGAGTCACATTCGACTCACAAATTTCCACGCTCGACCGGTTCGTTAGCCACCCGCTAATGGAAAAAGTCCCAACTTGGGCAACTGTATTTTTGTCCTTAATTTCTTTTAATGCATCCTTGGTATTTTTTACAAATCAACAAAAAATATAAAAAAAATATATATAAAAACCATTATTCTATATTACTTCGCAAAATTTATCATGGTGTATAATAACGCCATTGACTGCCATTTTGTAAAACGGCACATAACCAAAAATGCCCGTTCAATCGACCCGTATCACGGCGCATTAAGCAAACGATTTATACGATTTGAAAAAAGGTTTCCCAACTGCATTTACATTTACACACAATGTCTTTATCAACATCTACCTGGTGATACTATTAAATACCCTGTCACAACCCTTTTTTCTAATTTTCTCTCTACCACTTTCCCTCCGTTCTTTTTTGTGTCGCACGGCTTGCACACATTCGGTTAATTTATTTTAATTTCGACCGTCGCCGCGCACGTCGCCGGAATGAAAATGGATGATCGGAAACCATCGATTCGAAGTTCCAACTTCCGACGCGACGCTCGAAGCGGTGCGCCGGAGCTTTTTTCGGCAAAGCTTTTTCCGGCTGTTTGCGGGCGCGGGCAATTCACAAACGCGTCCGAGTGTGTAAACGTCGCTCGGGGGTGTTCCACCACCCATATAAAAGAAAAAAAATCCCAGATTTGAAACGAAATCCGATCGTTTTGTTGCAGCGAGTTGGTATTTATTTTATTTGTATGAAGCGATTTTCGCATTGTGTGCGTTTCTGTTATCGCTTTCTGGTGTATTTTAACGGCTCGTTATAAATTTTTATTGTTCCTGTGTGAATTTACGAACAAATATTTAAAATTACAAGTTTTGTACATTTTGTAATGAAAATTGCTGATAGTGAAAAGTTGCGGAAGGCAAACACAGGTTGAAATGTTGCACATTCGAGCAATTATAAATATTTGAGAGTGCAGGTAATTCTGCTGCCTGGACGTAACTCGTGTAATTCAGAGCGGAGATTTGTCTAGTTGTAACGGAGAATAGGTGGTGAATTATTTATTTAAAACGTAGATTTCCGTTGTGCAAATGTTAGAATTGCTATTTATCAGCAGTTTCCGGCGTCTAGTGCAAACAACACTCAAGAAAATAACAAAACTGGATGAATTAGGCATACACAGTTATTTTTCCTGGCAAAATTCATACATAAATACATAAAAAAAAATTTAATTCAATTTTTTCTTAAGAAAAAAATGCTAAAGTGTTTTTAATAAATTTCTGATTTCTTGAAATACAATGGTAGTACAAATGCTGATTTCTATAAAACCATTTGATACCAATGCGTCTCTTTTATGACTTTAAAGTACTTTTAACTTATAGTGCTTTAGAAATTTATTGCAGAACACCGTTTTTGCTAGTAATAACGCTGGTATTACCTCGTTTTTTAATAAAATTAATATTCGTTTAATTCCGTTTACACCAATACATTTTCTTTATTGAAGTAAATCAAAATTGCTCGGAATGCTTATTGACGTTTCTTTTACTTTAAAAGTATTGCTCCAAAATAATATAAGGATATATTCATATACAAATATGAATATTAATTTCATGGAGTGACATGCCATCCTGTTTACATCAACATCCCCTGCGGATATTGCTGTTTCCTTCTCTACTCCTAAACAACCTCCTACATCACTACAGAATCACGGATGTCTTCTCATCTCCATTTTCAACCAGCTTCAACTTCAGTCGTTGCCACACATCCGGCTCACTTTGAGCGCTCAGACGTGATTCGCAAGTCTTGTCTTGTCCAGTCTGCGAAACGTCCAAACAGTAAACTTACAAACTATCCAAATTATCTCACAATAAGTTATTCGTAACTCATTAAACTATCCTCGCAATATCCACGAGGTTTAAATTGAGAAAAATCTGTGCAGATTGTGGAATAAGATCACAATTTGAATAACAAATGCATCTAGATTCTTGAAGTGAACCAAATCAAAGAAAACAAGAAAATGTCATTGGATGCAAATGCACTTTGTAGAAATGCGATTGAAGCATGGAAAATGCAAATGTTGTTGAAACTGTCGGAGATTTTGATTTTCCCGGGCGGATGAGCTGCCGCCAAGTCGCCTTTCTGCTGTTTACTACTGCTGCCAATATGCAAATAGCAATAGATGCTGATTTTATGCAGATGCCCTCAACCTCAGCAACAAAGTCTTAGTCGGTCTTAATAAGTTGTTGCAACAGATTTCAGTAGATGAACTTGTCATCATAACATGCTTGAGGTTATGTTTATGTTGCAATGTAATTAATTATGTAATGTTGGTTGCAGACATTTTGCGTGGTGTCGAAGCGCTTTCGCAAGAACTACATCCATCGCTTCACGGCGACCAGCTCGTTCTTCTTGTTCAGCCCGTGGAGCCGCTACCGGAAGGCGTGCATCTTCCTGTGCACGAACCAGTTCTTCGACTATCTCGTCATGGCTACAATATTGCTCAATTGCGTCTTCCTCGCCATGACTGAAACGATCGAAGAAGCCGAGTAAGTTCATTTTCATAATAAATCAAGCATCTCATTAACGTCGATAGTTCGCAACGCGTCCAATTAAAAGTACAATCGAGTCGTTAGACCGTGAAATTGTGCACTAAAACCAATTATGACAAAACAATTGAAAAACAATCAAAATCAATTGGAGAGCAATGAGAACAATTAGGCAAACAAGACGGAGCAATTAAATTCACTCCGGTGTGTTGGTGACACTTGTCAGAAAATTTAAATTTTAAACATAAGAAGCACAAATACGGTTTTTATTTTTTGTACGTTTTGTGACGATTAACTTTTCTAATAAGCCCTCAAGCGTTGCAGTTTAAACAAAGTTTGCACTAATCCTGTGAAAAGCTCGAGGAAAACTGGCTTCGCATCGACGCGTTCGCTCGTCTTTTGTATCAGTTTTTGTTTTCTTTTGCGTTCGCCGTCTGCGGTGAGCAACTTCATTAAAAATTTAATAACAAACTTTTCGAACCGAACAAACGAACAGGTTGGTTAAGAAAATTTTGATCTCACTTTTAATTTTAAACAGCTTGTTGAAGTGAAACCTTCTTTAGAATCATTGTGATTTCAAAATTAATAAAACGACACTAAGAAGAGACAAACATATTCGTTTATATGGTTTAGCCCACAATTAATTATTATATTAATATTATCTTCGTCTCCGATTTGTACGATGCTTCGTAACTTGCCACAAGCCACAATGCCACATGCCAAAAACTAGTGCCGATTAGTGTCGTGAATATCGGCAGAAAAATATTACATAACTTTTACACTTGGTTCCAATATTATAATAAATAAATCCTATAATTACCCCACTCCTGAAACTACTTTCGTCTCAATCTCTCGCAGTGCAGAGAAGGTTTTACTTCTACCGCGTGTGAACTGCATACATGATTTGTATTTAAATTTCTATCTGCTAGAGAATTTTCCAATCTTCCATAATCTTTAATTTTCTGAGTGCTATCTCTTTTAGTTCAGAAGATACTCACTGTCAAAAATCGTTAAAATCAATTATCAAGCCCCCACCTTTGCCCATTTTTAGAAAGTAACATTTTTCATAAAGTATGTAAATTTAGTGTAGAAAACACCCTGTATCTTGTGAACGATTGGACATTTTTAAAGTTTGCCACCGTCATATTAAAGCTCAAGAATTCTTCTACACAATTCATACCTTGGCAATTTTCTAACCCTTTTAGAAGTTCCCCAAAACTCTTATCAAAAATTTAAAGCATGGCGCGCAAAACACCCAGTATCTCTCGAACTAATAAACTTTTTTATAGTTTGTCACCGCTATTTTAAAGCTCGAAAGTCTCCCTATATAATGCATACCTTTTCAATCTGATAGCCCATCCGGAAGTGCCCTAAAATGCCCTTAAAAAATTGCATTTTTTCAAAAGATTTAAAACATGGTGTGAAAAACATCTTGTATTTTGCGAACTAATAGATTTTTTAAAGTTTGTCACCGCTTTTTTAAAGTTTGAAAGTCACCCTACACGATGCATATCCCTTCGATCTACGAGGTCTTTCGGAAATTGAAACCATGGTGTGGAAAGCACCCTGTATCTCGAGAACTATATGACTTTTTTCTAGTTTCTTACCGCCATGCTAAAGTTAGAGAGTCTCTCTACACGATGCATACTATTTCAATTCCTTTCGGAAGTGCCCTAAAATTCCTTTCTAAAATTGGCTATTTTCGAAAAAATTGAAAACATGGTGCAAAAAACACCCTGCATCTTAAGAACTATTTGATTTTATTGAAGTTTTTTACCGTTACTTCCCTTCCGGAAGTGCCCTAAAAGTCACTTCAAAAATTGCCATTTTTGTCCCAAAAATTTCATTTTTGGTGGAATAACAGGGTTGAACTTTGAAATCATTATTTCGGAAAATTGGTGGTAAAGTTTAAACTGATCAATTAAAACCACCTTTTCGATTTTCCCCAAATGTTTCAAATCAAAGTAAGACATCACCAGGATTCTAGTAATCCAGGTTTGGTTGGCCTATTTTAATTAGTTTTCATGTTATTGACCATTTTTAATTAATACGTAAGTGTTGATAATTGAAAATTTTAAGATGTTATATAATGTAAAATTTAATTCTACATACAAATGTGAAAACCGTTTTTCTCTATCTCTAATGGTTTTCAAGATGAATGCGAAAAACTGGTTTATTCGATTTGTCCATTATTTTCTTAACAACCAGTTTTTCGCACTTATGGTGAAAACCATTAGAGATGGAGAAAAACGGTTTTCATATTTGTATGAAGAATTGCATTTTACATTATATAACATCTTAAAATTTTCAGTTATCAACACTTACGTATTAATTAAAATGGTCAATAACATGAAAACTAATTAAGATAGGCAATCAAACCTGGATTAATAGAATCCTGGTGATGTCTTACTTCGTTTTGAAATATTTGGGAAAAATCGAGAGGTGGTTTTAATTAATCAATTTACATTTTACCACCTATTTTCAGAAATAATTATGCTATCGGAAAACTGACTTGATATTTTTCGTCCCCGTGGAAACCTCAATTGATTAGCGTTTTCCATTTTCTTCTAGCTTAAAAATTTTGGAATCCAAAAAGAGTCAAGTGTAACCTCTTGATCTTTTGAGAGGTCTTTGGTCAACTTTGGAAAATGGAAAAACTAAATCTGCCATTTTATAACGGCATGAACAAAATGAAGAAAGTTCTTTTCTATCTTTATTATTTTCCGAGAAAATCGCAGCAGAAATTTATTTAGGCACATGTTATATTTCAAATTTTTAAATGTTATCTTATCTAGGATTTGATGCTGAACATCGGGGTATTTTTGGTTTTGTTTATTTCTATTAGTTCCTGAGATAATTGATTCTTAAGTCTCGATGAGAGTGCACATTTCATTTAATGAGATTTACTGCAAAATTTCTTACTGCTATTCGGTGAACAGTTATTTAAATTGTGTCATTAAGAGCCCTCTACACAATGAAGTAGTTCTCAATATTTAATTAAACAACTATTTCAAACGTCAGGCGACTCCGCCAATTTTTCATAATGAATAACTTTTATATAATTTAAAATTAAATTACTGTTTTGTCATTCAGAAATTCAACTTTGCAACTTTTAATTTAATATTTCGAAGGGAACATTTTAAGAAAAAGTTCGACTCTGTTGTTCTAGCAAAACAAATTTATTTGACAAAAAAAATTAAGAAAAAGTTCAACCCTGTTATTCGACCACAAAAATTCGACCTTGTTCTTTGACAAAATGAAATTAAGAAAAATTCTACTCTGAAAAAATTTTAACAAAAAGTTCGACTCTGTTATTTGACCAAATAATGCAATTTTGGGACACAAATAGCTATTTTGGTGCTTTTAGGGCACTTCTGGAAGGGTTAGGGGTTGGAAAGATACGGATCACGTAAAAATACTCTCGAATTTTAAGATGGCTGTAAAAAACTTCAAAAAAATCACATAGTTATCTAGATACAGGGTGTTTTTCACACCATGTTTTAAATTTTTTGAAAAATGCCAGTTTTTGAAAGACATTTTACGGCACTTCCAGAAGGCCTCGAAGATCGGGAGGGTATGCATCGTGTTGGGAGACGTTCGAATTTTAAAATAGCGGTAATAAAGTTTAAGAAAATCAATTAGTTCGCGAGATACAAGGTGTTTTCCTCACCATATTTTCAATTTCTTTGAAAAATGCCAATATTCAAAGGGTATTTTAGGACACTTCCGGATTGGTTAGAAGATTGAAAAGGATTGCATTGTATAGGGGGACTTTTGAACTTTAAAATTGTTGTGACAAACTTTTAAAAAAATCAATTAATTTGCGGGATAAAGGGTATTTTGCGCGCCATGTTTTTAATTTTTTTGAAAAAGTCCAATATTCAAGGAAAATTTTGGGGCACTTCTAAAAGGACTAGAAGATTGACAACATCTGCATCGTGTAGAGGGACTCTCGAGCTTTAATATGGCGTGACAAACTGTAAAACTGTCAATTCGTTCTCTAGATACAGGGTGTTTTCTACTTACTTTACGAAGTAAAGTGCTACTTTCTAAAAAAAACACTTTTGAGCATTTTCAGAAATGCTCATTAACTTTAACATGGCGGTGAGAAACTGTAAAAAAGTCATATAGTTCTGGAGATACTGGGTGTTATTTTGCTGACCACAATAAAAACGAAAGAGATTGAACCAGGGGCTTTTAGATCTTCAGTCTAACGCTCTCCCAACTGAGCTATTTTGGCTTATTGACAAAGGATTGTTGCAATTATACTACACAAATCATTGTTTTCATACAAAGAAAAAAATCAATTTCTGAAATGCATTTTAAATCAAAGAACACTCGAATCTTTTTGGTATGATACAGGATAGCAGAATGGTACAGAATGCTTTTAAATTTTTGAAATGAAAACTTCTTTAGAATCGGTATGATTTCATATTATCCCACTCCTGATACTACTTTTGTCTCATTCTCTCGCAGTGCAGTGTTCTGAAGGTTTCACTGCTACCGCGTGTGAACTATACACATGATTTTTTTTTTGTTTAATTTGCTAAAAGCAACACGAATATAATTGACGGAAATATACTGAATTTTATCGAAAAAGAAAATAATATTTGTCTTATTTCTTAAAACACTTGCAATTATAAATAAACCCAGGTTATCCTTCACAGTTAGTGATTATCCAACGTTATCCCCGGTGATGTAGCGTGCAATCTTCTCTCGTGTTCATTTGCTGCATTTTCCCAACCGTCGGGAAGTATAGTTGTAGCTGCCGCGTTAGCTCGACGTCCCCGTCGGCGCTTTTCTTCTAAATCAACCCTGACACGACTAGAATCATTTTCATCATTCCCAAACCAACAAAAAATTCGCTACGTAAAACCATGTAGCTATGCTTCAAGCGTATGATTTTTCTTACATATCTTTTTTTGTCCATTGCTGGTGTGGTGCAAAGAGTTATTGTAATATCGCTTGAATTTACTACACACGAGCTTATGTAAGTGCGTTTTTTTGGGAATTTCCGAGCGCGAGCAAATGCGAATGGAAACGCGTCAGACATAACTTTTTAGGCCGTTTGCTTTTACGTCTCGATTTATTGCCACTTACATCGGATCCAACCGAAGCGTGGAAGGAGATAAAAAGCGATAATGCTCGAAAATAATATTTCCGATGTGAAAGCGATGGATGAATCATAAAATCACGAACAAATTATTAAATACATGATCTGTCCGTAATATTATCTCATGATTTTTATGCGTTTTTTTATTATTGATTTTGGAATTATTCAATACTAGTTTTTGAGGATTCGTTTTAATAAAAAGTAGTCTAGTCGTACGTAATTATCTACTTGTTTTTTGGGTCGATCGCGTCAATAAAAATAATTTAAAGAAATGACTAATTCTAACAATTATATAACGTCATCTCGATTCGAATTATATAAAAATAACTATGATTAAATTATCATACTTTTCATCATACTCAACTTTTATGCCGTATTTTACACTCTTCAAGTTATATTTTTAAAACATAATGTTGCATATTTTATTCTTCGATATTAAAGTTAGCTCCATGCCACATTTTCTCAAAATTGTTCCAGTAGTTCTTGCGTGAAAGCGTAACATACAAATAATATTTGCTAGGATTAATATTTTCCAATTTGTTTGTTTTAGGTATGTTTTTTTAGCCATATACACCTGCGAGATGACCATCAAGAGCGTCGCCAAGGGCTTCATCCTGAACAAATACACGTACCTTCGGAATCCGTGGAATTGGCTCGATTTTGTCGTCATCTCCAGCGGGTACGCGACGATAGGCATGGAGGTCGGCAATCTCGCCGGGCTGCGCACGTTTCGCGTGCTGCGAGCGCTCAAAACGATATCCATACTGCCAGGTAGGTCAAAACATTCCACAACTTGGCTCATAAAGAGGTCATTATTACTTCTTGATAAATCATTATTTATTATGCCTGGAAATACCAATACCCGCAGAATTTGCATAATCCATTCAATGCTCTGGAAATACCACAAAACAAACAACAATATTTCCATGAATTTTATTTCTGCTGATTGTACGGTATTAATACAAATAATTGAAGCAGAACTAACTCAGTTATATTGCACCAAAGCGTCAAGCAACATCTCAGTTAATGATAAATTAACCTTTAAAATGTTATCAATTAATACCGCAGCAATAACTTATATTTTACTAGTGGTTTTGTATGGTGTAAATTGTTGTGATTTTATAAAAGATGTGAAAATCCAAATGCGACTAGAAAATAGAAAGAATCATCGTGGAATAACAATGAACAGTTGTATTGATCGAATTAACTTAGGCGATAAACTTCCTGAAGACATTCGAGTAATCAACCAAACAATGCCTGAATTGGGAAAAGATGCTTTTCGCAACTTAGTAAAACTACAAGTGCTCAAAGTGGAAAACAGCAGTGTTCAATATTTATCCGCATATTTTTTGCGTAACACACCTAGACTAAGAGAAGTGCATATTACTGGCAACAATTTCTCAGAAGTACCTTCTGATACCTTCAATCGTGGAACAGTTGTGGAAGTTTTAATGTTAAACAACAATAAAATCACTACTGTCGGCGGATTTCAAAACATGGTACATCTCAACAAGCTCAAAATGAGACATAATTTAATCAACGAAATCAAACCAGATTGGTTCGTGAACTGTTCGGCAATGCGTATTTTGGATTTTAGCCATAATCTGATAAAACAACTCGATGCCAAAACATTTCATCATCTGAAACGAATCAAACATGTTCATTTAAATAGTAACTTAATACGGAAAATAGGCTCGAAAACATTCGAGCGACTCAAGGACTTGAAACAACTGTCGTTGAAACACAATCTGTTAAAGGTTATCAACGCTGACATATTTGGTTCGAATGTGTTGAGTATGGACATGTTGATGTTGAGCGCAAACAGTTTAAATTACATCGGCAAAGATGTTATGAATAAGCTGACGTTGAAAGAGTTAAAAATCGATGGGAATCCTGTCTTTTGTAATTGTTTAGAAGAAATCAGTGACTGGTTAAATGTCACGGGAGGATCGTTGATAACCTCTGATGGATGTACAGGCTGCGACCAATTGCCAGTCTGTGTATTTCCCAAGATACTCAGCATTGAATGCAAGCCCACCACAGACGACTTTGCGAATAATAAGTTTTTCGACCTGGCAGCGAGAATTCTCGACTCCGAGCATCGAGACTGTGTAAATCTCGACTTTACGAATACTAATAATTCATGAGTCTAAGGTCATGCAGTGAATGTATTAAAAACAAATACGTAATAAATAACAAGTGCTAAGAAATACGGTTCCTTAAAAATGTTTAAAAACAACGTTTTATTTTGTACGCTTTTTATTTTTTGTTTACATATAAACAAAACTAAATCTTGTGAATCATTTAAAAACATCCGGGTGACTTACAGTGTTAAACGAAGTGAGCTGCTTCAAGACGAATACATATCCGGTTGTATAACTTCGAATGCTTTTTTATTTCAACCAGTTAAGATGGAAATCGATGGCTTTAACGGATCCAAATTCAGAACACTGCCAAAAGGTGCCTTTGAAAATCTTGAAGAACTCGAACACTTGACTATAAACTTTGTCGATTTGCAAACTATTGAAAGTAAAGCATTTAACAAGTTACCGAAGTTAAGCCACGTCCACATCACGGACAACAACTTGACAACATTCTCATCAACGGTCTTTCAGCGTCAGGTGCGTCAACAGATCAAAGTGCTCAACTTGTCTGCTAACCATTTAAGTGATATGGAAGGGTTCGCCAACATGAATAAATTAGAAAAGCTGGATCTTCATGAAAATAACTTAGAAGAAATAGATACTGATTGGTTTCTGTTCTGTTGGTACTTACAGTCTATAAATATGAATACAAACAAAATTAAACAAATAGGATCAAATAATTTTATGCACGTACATATGTTAAGAGAGTTATTTTTAGATGACAATCAAATATCGTCAATTGCTTTAAATAGTTTCAAAAATCTTGAATATTTGAAAATTTTAAGTTTACGCCATAACGAACTACAATATCTTCAAGCTGATATATTTGGAAAGAGAGAAGTGGTTTTAGATAGTTTATTATTGAGTGGAAATCTAATCAATTATTTGGATCGTGAATTTATGCAGAAAGTGACAGTTGGGACATTGTTAGTTGATGGAAATCCGTTGAAGTGTGCTTGTTTGGATAAAATAATATCATGGATTGCAAGCACAAAAGGAACGTTATTAAGTTGTGACTTACCCATTTTACCATCATGTGTCGTTGCTTCAGATTTAAATTGTACAGAAACTCTGGTTGAAGATCTAACACGTGAATTTTTAAGCTATGCCAAAACAAATGTTAAACAATCAGATTATCTTTGTATAAATTTAGACGTATAGTATGATTTAATCTGAACTTACCTTTCATCGATCCGTAATCATTTAATATATTCTCTTTTGTTGCACTTACTTTGTGTTCTACGACATCTGTAAAACTATTGATATTGTAAAGATATTGTAAATGAAGTACGAAATATACAGCAAAAACTTGTTTTATTTAATTAATCTATTGAAATTAAGATTTCATTAGAATAGCTTAGTTATGTCTCCTTGCTTGGGGGTAGGCCCCCATGTTGTGACGACGATTATGACGTCTGTGTGGACTGCCAGCGGTCTTCCTCTTATTGCCACCCTCTATGCGGCTGACTCCGGGAGTCATAATTGTGCCACTATCGTGGTGTACCATCGCTTTTCTCCCGGCATCGACTTTGGTCATAAACGCGGCTAAAACGCTGAGGACCACCAGAAAAATCACAAAACGCATTCTTGATTTGCGTCAATATATCTGAATATAAAGGAATCAATCGTCTTTGTTTTTCACTGGATTATATTTACTCTGCACAAATGTATTTATAAGTTTCTGTTATCGCCTTTTCCATGTGAATAGATTGCCCATTGTTTGTGAATAATTTAGCGTAAAATTAGTTTATATGGAGGAAATTAACTATTTCTAAATAAAGCGATTCTTATTTATTTTTAATAAGCCGTGTGCACATTAGTATAGTCATTTAAATAATTTCTTCATTTATGCGGAGGCGTATTTTGAATCATTAAAAATTATGTGTTGTTGTTTTCAGGTCTGAAGACCATCATTAACGCACTGTTGCATTCGTTCAAGCAATTGGCGGAAGTAATGACGTTGACCATCTTCTGTCTGATGGTGTTTGCCCTTTTCGCGTTGCAAGTGTACAAGGGTGAGCTGCGCAACAAGTGCGTGTTGAAAATGGACGACCACAATGCCACGTACGAAGCCTGGTACAAGTAAGTGGGCCCAATATTTCCATTTGTAAACGGTCATCAACAAGTTTGTCTTGGAACGGTTCCAAACGCGCTCATATATCATGATAGCAGCTTTTCCGAATAGCGATTCAACGCTTTTTCTTTTCTATGGTTCGCGCGCAGCTGGACGACGAATCCAGAGACGTGGCTGATAAAGAACGAAACGGGCGATCCGGTCATCTGTGGGAACGTCACCGGCTCGCGCCACTGCCCGCCGTCGCATACGTGCCTCTGCGTCGGCGACAACCCCAACCACGGCTACACGAGCTTCGACAACTTCCTCTGGTCCATGCTCACCACCTTCCAGCTCATCACCCTCGACTACTGGGAGAACGTGTACAACATGGTGCTGTCGGCGTGCGGACCAATCAGCGTCTCGTTTTTCACGATCGTCGTTTTTTTCGGCTCCTTCTATCTCATCAACCTCATGCTGGCTGTGGTAGCGCTAAGTTACGAGGAGGAAGCTGAGATCACCAATGAGGTCCGTACCATCAGATTCGCTCAACAAAAACCTCAAAATGTAACCATGTTTAAATATTTACTCGCCACAGGAACGTAAAAAAGAGTTAGTAGACCACCGAGAAGACTCCACTTTCAGTTTCGATCCGGCCAACATCCATGTAAAGCAGCTCTCAAAGCACAAGATTAAAAAGATCGACGCCCGTAAAGGTGTTCTATTATCGTCCTACACAAGAAAGAGAACACGGCGGAGAAAACGCGGCCGGAGCAATGCGATAACCTCGCCGCCTCCGGAATTACCCTCGGGCGAGATAAAAGAAGAGCCCAAGGAGCAGAAAACCTCGTCCAAGGGCAGCGCCAAGTCCTCTCCGAAACAAAAATCCAGTAGATCTGTTACACCCAGTCCAAGTCCCAGTCCACGTAATAGCAGGGCAAGTAATTCCCCACGTCCCCAACTGTTACCTCTACCGCTACCAGCACCAAAACATGTACAACTATCAGATCCCAAATGTCCCGACACCCTACAGTCAGCAAACACCTTAGCTCCCCATAGACTAGGACCACACAGCAGACAAACAAGTAGTAATAGTGAGGGGAACAATAGAGAATCATCTTTGGATGATTCCGGAGTGGTGGATGATCATGATGATGGTGATGTGACATCAGAAGATGTTGGATCACAAATACAGCCTGTAATCAGGGTATGTTATTAATATATTCAACTCCCACTTTAGTAATATTAAAACATTATTCTGTCATGTTTACAGAGAGTTGAAGTAACACCAGTAACATTATCTGTAAGTCCGAAAGAAATCAAAGTGATCAAGTGCAATGGCGTGGGCGATTGCAAAGGGGGCACGAAGAAGCACAACATGTACACGCTGCCGCCAGACTACCTCTCACACATAGTCGTAATAGGTATGAGTTTAGATTTTTTCCATCACAAATAAAATTCCACTTTTTTCTCCTTTTCTTTCCAAGTATCTGTAGGAGTAGGTATAAAATGGGTTTCGGAGCGCAAAGCCATATAGCAATGCAATTTATATTTGAATCGGAAACTCTCATGAATAAGTGAACAGGAAGAAATGAGAAAATCTACTAATCATTTAAAATTTAAAGAGATACAGGATAGAAAAACTGAAACGCAACGAAAAAATCTGTTTCGGTAAAATCAAATATTGTTGGATAATTTTTATCACTTTGTATATGTGTATACAGGAATTTTTCACTCTAATCACGCGCAAACACTTTAAGCATTTCGCGCGTATAAATCAACTCGCGTTCTTTGCGAGGCGCCTGTTGGATGAGCAATGGGAAGGAATGCAAACCCTCGAGGCGCGCACCGTCCTTGGATAATTTACGAACGCTCGCCGGCTATAATTCATACTCGATTCAATAAGTTTGCGCTCGAGTGGCGAGTACACGAAACGTTGAATGCCCACATGCCCACGGCTTATCTTGCTCTATACATAAAACTTAAAAAGTGGAAATTTTCAATTTGCTTAATGCACTCAATATTTTTGATTGAATTGAATTTAATTAAATTAATTTAATTTCAAACTCAAATGATTTTCTTTGTTTCTGTTTCGTTGAAGATGATCTTCCTGATAGAAACTGCCCTGGTTGTGAACGCTGCTGCATGGATTACAACGGGTGGCTGCAGTTTCAGCAGATTATGTACGGAATCGTGAGAGATCCGCTTTTTGAGCTTGCCATTACGGTGTGCATCGTGCTGAATACCGTTTTCCTTGCGATGGAGCACCACGGAATGAGTGAAAGTGTTCTGAGGGCTTTAGACATTGGCAATAAGGTAAATCTCACAATTTCAAAACTTACATTCTAAATTTATATAATTTTATTGTTTTATTTTCTTATTTCTAGGTGTTCACTTCCATATTCACTCTTGAATGTTGCCTCAAACTAATGGCTCTAAGCAAAGACTTCTTTCAATGTGGTTGGAATATTTTCGACTTGATCATCGTCTCTGCTAGTCTGCTCGATTTAATTTTTGAATTAGTGGATGGTCTTTCCGTGCTTCGCGGTCTCCGATTGGTAAAATAACCGTTGAAGCAATTTTCGCAAGGAGTCCTAATAGTTTTATGTTATTGTTAATGTGATGGTTATAGCTGCGGGTATTGAAGTTGGCTCAGAGTTGGATTACGATGAAGGTCCTGCTCAGTATCATCATCAGCTCGATCGGCGCGCTGGGAAATCTTACCTTCGTGTTGGTGATCGTCATTTACATCTTTGCCGTCATCGGCATGCAGCTGTTTTCTAAGGATTACACTATTGATAAGTTTTATCCTGATCCAATACCCAGGTATACACTTTTCTATCAAACCAATACCAATAAATATTTCATATTGATTATGCACTCAGGTGGAACTTTACCGACTTCTTTCATTCCTTCATGATGATCTTTCGTATTCTATGTGGAGAGTGGATTGAGCCACTTTGGGATTGTATGAGAGCTGAAGCGCATGAGGTATTTAAATTGTCGTTTTTCGAAAGTTAGTATTACTTATAAATTTATTGATGATTTTGTTTAGGGTCCTGGAATTTGTTTAGCGATCTTTCTGCCTACACTGGTGATGGGTAACTTCATGGTTCTGAACTTGTTCTTGGCGTTGTTGCTCAACAGCTTTAACAGCGAGGAGCTGAAGACGCGCAAGGAGGTATTCGTCAAGGGGAGTGTCTATTACGACTTACCAATACGGCACGTGGTAGTACTTTGCCTAAACCGTTTAATTTTCTCCAGCAGTACATTGATCCGAGCATAGATCGTGTAGAATTTCTTACAAAACGCTGAAATTTTAAACCCTTTTATATAAATTCATTCATTAAACCCGTTCATTTTGTAGTTTTGTTTTTACTACAACACACTTAAACTGCACACTGTAGAAAATTTAGAAAACAAAAATCGATCAAAGTTAACATGACCTTGACTGTTACACATACCCTTTTGCACTTAAGGCCACCTCAAACCAAAGATGTTGCTATTAATTAAATTTTTATATCGCTTTGCATATACAACCTCACTTTTATGAAATTGGTTATGTAACATAACCCTTATTTATAACTTTCATTCCGATAACATGAAACACATTATTTATTTATGTTCTTTTTAACTTTGTTTTGTTTGTATTGATTTCAACTTATAATTTTTATGTTTTTTGTACAAAATAATTAATTACATTACTATTAATAGAATTTTTGAATCTAGCAATTTAGCTAATCATAGTCTAGAGCTCGCCTAGACCAAGAATAAAATAGCGTTGGCATTTTTGAATATGATTATACTCGTGCAGAAATGTAGTTAAAAAAGTAAGATTGATTAAGAAAGAGCAAGCAAGGTACTATTTAGTGTCTGCTGGTAAGTTTCACGTAAGCTCTCTCTCCTTTTGTGTTGTGGAAATGGCGTGACGTTGACGTAAATGTACGTTTTGCATGTGGTGTCTGAAGTCTGAAAATTCTACGTTTTCGCGTTTCGTCGTTTTTTCTCAACCTAGACTGTTACCTCCTTTGTTTCGTCTTTTCTTTAAGTCTAATTTAGAGCATAACTTATATTAGGTCCTTTTCTGCATCTTTCAACTTTGCTTACATTTGCTTATATGGTGATGCAATTTATTTATTCCCGCACAGCTTTACCAAATTCTAGCACAATTGTTATCATGACATTACACACAATGATTGTGTATGTATGTTTTGTGTTTGTTTGTATGTGTTTCAGGCACCTCAAGAACAACCCCAAATTGTACGGAAACGTACAAAGCAATATTTGTTCAAAATTAATAATTTAATATTAATTTGTTTTCTTTCCCAAGCTGTTGATGTTTGTCATAATTGGTGTTTGATGTTTCATGTGCTTCACATAACGGATTGGAAGACGATGTAATAATTTAGTTTTTTGCTGTTTTCCTCTTATTTAAAAACATAGGAAGTGGGCGATGAATCGAAACTGGCGCAGAGCTTTGACCGCATTCGTGAATTGGTGCAGAAGAAAAAGATTACACGAATGCAGGAGCAGACGCAGAATGATGATAATTCGCGGTTGGAGCAAATTGTCCGAGAAGTGATGCAACGCCATGCTGAAGAAGAAGCCTTTGCTAGAGGTACAATATTGTTACTAATATCAATAAGAATTTTGATATAAATACTCTCGTTTTAGTTGGTTTAACAACAAAAGCCATTCAACAATCAACAGTTGTGGCATTTCCTCGTGATAAACGCAGTTATCAGGAAGCTATGAACCGACCGATTTCAATCATCAGTTACGAACCTCCCGAGTATCAAGAAACTCTACACGAAGGTTTAGAACCTCATGTTCAACATGTACACTACGAGGATACTGGTAACGGTCGTAGTCGCTATGCGACTCTAATCAATGGCACTTCAGAGGACACAGAACACAACTCCGAGTGTGGCCGTAAAGAACCTGCTCCTTTGTTACAAAACATGTCCTCAGGGTTAGGTACAACCAATGATAGCAAAGGTAAAACTAATTCCACTCCATCCTTACTAGTTTTAACAATCTTTGATGTTTAATTATTGTTTTCACACCTCGCATCCTTTCCTCCTTAGACGAAAGCGTTGAATCAGTCGAGATGAAAAACTTCAACCGCGGCATCTCCGCCGATACTGAACACGACGAGGAGTCGGCGCTCTGTCCCCAACGCAGTAAGGACGATGCATCGTCGGTGGGCGGCCCAATGGGTGGGCAAATTGGTCCCGACGGCGCTGGTCCAGGTGAAGACAAACCGTGGCAGGCAATCGCTTCTTATGTTGACGAGTTGACTGTAGGTGGCAGGAGGAACTCGAAGGGGCAGTACATTGACGGCATGGGCAACTTCCCGTACTTCGGTCGCAACAAGACACCACGCACCCCACCCGATTGCTTCCCGCACCATTGCTATGAAAAGTTAGACCCTTCCCATCCTTCACTACATCCATACTAAAATACTAATGTTGATTATCTGTTATTTAGGTGCATTTGTTGGAACCAGCTACTGCAGACACCGATTGGTAATAGGTGGACCAATGGAAGAACTGCAGTTATGTCTGTGGTGGATACACCTGCGTTTGAATGGTTCATCTTAGTGCTCATTTTTGCGTCGTCGGTGACTCTCTGTTTCGAAGATATTCATTTGGATGAAAACCCTAGACTGAAGTCCATTCTATACTGGACAAACCTTGTTTTTTCGATGATCTTCGTCATCGAGATGGTTCTCAAGTGGATTGCGTTGGGTTTTCATAAGTATTTCAGTGAATTCTGGACTCTGCTGGACTTCCTCATCGTGTTCGTCAGTTTATTCAGTCTGCTCATCGAAGAAAACGAAAATTTAAAAGTCCTTAGATCTTTGAGGACTCTAAGAGCGTTGAGACCATTAAGAGCAATAAGTAGATGGCAAGGAATGCGTATTGTAGTGAACGCATTAATGTACGCCATCCCTAGTATCTTCAACGTGTTGCTGGTGTGTTTGGTTTTCTGGTTGATATTCTCCATCATGGGCGTCCAGTTCTTCAGCGGTAAGTTCTTCAAGTGCGTGGACGAGGACGGCGAGATTCTCCCAACGACCGTAAGTAACTTTGCACGGCATGCAAACCGAATGCATTAGTAGAGCTTGAGTAGGTCTAAATTCGAACGTTTCTTGCGCTTTCCCAACACCCGTGCAGATTGTAAACACAAAATGGGAGTGCTTCGAGCAGAACTTCACCTGGATCAACTCGAAGATTTCCTTTGACCACGTGGGCATCGCCTATCTGGCATTATTTCAAGTGGCCACCTTCGAGGGATGGATGGAAGTCATGGCCGACGCAGTAGACGCTCGAGGGGTTAATCTTCAACCACAAAGGGAAGCCAATCTCTACGCGTACATCTACTTCGTTATCTTCATCGTGTGTGGATCCTTCTTCACGTTGAACCTCTTCATTGGAGTTATTATCGATAACTTTAACATGTTGAAGAAAAAGGTATTAACTTTGAATGTAATTCTGATTCTGGTCATGATTACAATTGATTTGTTGGTTCGCAGTACGAAGGTGGAGTGTTAGAAATGTTCCTCACCGAATCACAAAAGCACTACTACACCGCTATGAAGAAGCTAGGCAGGAAGAAACCTCAGAAGGTTATCAAGCGTCCCTTGAACCCATTCCTGGCGATGTTTTACGACCTGTCAAACTCGAGACGGTTTGAGATCGCCATATTCGTGCTGATCTTCCTTAACATGCTGAGTATGGGCATCGAGCACTATGATCAACCTCATGCGGTCTTCTTCCTGCTCGAAGTTAGCAATGCTTTCTTCACCACGGTGTTTGGTCTCGAAGCGATCGTAAAGATCATTGGCCTAAGGTATCATTACTTTACGGTGCCGTGGAACGTCTTCGATTTTCTACTTGTGTTCGCGTCTATATTTGGAATTTTGATGGAGGATATTATGATTGACTTTCCGGTGTCGCCGACTCTCCTTAGAGTAGTGAGAGTTTTCAGAATTGGAAGGATATTACGATTAATTAAGGTAATCCTAATATTTAGTTATAATTATATTATTTTACCATCAATATCATTCTTAGGCTGCAAAAGGAATTCGTAAACTTCTTTTTGCGTTGATAGTCTCACTTCCCGCTTTGTTCAACATCGGGGCACTATTGGCCCTGATTACCTTCATCTACGCCATAATTGGGATGTTCCTATTTGGACATGTCCGGCAACAAGGTGCCCTAGATGATATGGTGAACTTTGAAACTTTTGGACGGTCTATGCACCTCCTTTTTCGGCTCATCACCTCAGCAGGATGGAATGATGTGCTCGAGAGCTTAATGGTACAACCACCAGATTGTGATCCGTCGTACATGGGTCAAACCAATGGCGATTGTGGATATCCGCTTTTGTCAATAATCTACTTCACTAGCTTCATCATCATCAACTACATGATTGTCATCAACATGTACATCGCCATCATTCTGGAAAACTTCAACCAAGCACATCAAGAGGAAGAAATAGGCATTGTTGAGGATGACCTTGAGATGTTCTACATTCGTTGGTCCAAGTAAGTTGTGCAACTTCGTTTGTTTTCTTATGTTTTTGCATACCACATTTTACTTCTACAACTCGTACGTACAAACTTACATTCTATAAGAGTGAAAATAACATTTCAAGCAAAACTTCAAGATTTGAGAAATGCGCATGTTAATTTTTGAAAGTAACTTTGCTGAAACTTTTCTCAAACTTAGTATGCTGTCTAAACAACCAACTCTTTTAACATTTTTGGCTAGTTTTATAGCCAAAAATCTTAAATTTACTCAATTCTAACCTCTCGACATAAAATTTGTATCTACTAAACATGTTTTTACCGTAGTTTGATAACGTATCTCTAAAGATTTCATTTGTAGTTGCGTTTAGTCTTTTCTTTTTTTGTTTTGGTTTTTGGGTAAATCTTTAAACTCTTGGGATACTTTCGTTTCTTGGTACTATTTTGAGCTTCTTTTGAAAATTGCACCTTAAGGCTTTAGGCTTTAGCCATATATTAGCAAAGCGCTTTCATTGCATGAAAGTGAACATAAAACAAATAACTTATGATTGTTACGGTTCTAATGCGATTTGTTCAACAGGAAAGCAAAAAACTAATCTTAAATTTTAACATTTTTACTAAAGCGTCCTGTGGTAAGGTGCAACATAACCATTTTTGACCATTCCGTTACTTTCGATAACCAACAGACGTGCACGCAAATGAAATCTCACGCAATTACGATACCTAACCAATTTTCTAGTTTTAAAACAATGAGAGCGTTACGAGTGACATAACCTCACTCTGCAGCTACATACACTATATAACACTATACACTCGACACTCGACACCTCAACTAGGCTAATTCATGTTGTTGACGATGTCTTCTTGCGACACATTTGACGGAATGGGAAGTAATTGAAATTTTACGTGTTTTCCAGATACGATCCGCACGCGACGCAATTTATTAGATTCTCACAATTGTCTGATTTCATTGCTTCTTTAGACCCGCCTCTAGGCATCTCAAAGCCGAACACCGTTGCGTTGGTGAGTTTTAATTTGCCCATCGCTAAAGGCAACAAGATCCACTGTCTGGATATCCTGCATTCGCTTGTCAAACATGTGCTCGGACACGTGGAGGAGACGGATAATTTCAGACAGGTAAGAGTGTCTCATAACTCAAAATAAAATATTTAGAAAGGTTGATTTATTAACTTGTGTGTGATTGTGTGCTCCAGTTGCAAGATCAGATGGACGTTAAGTTCAAGAAACAATTTCCAACGCGCAAAGAGTTGGAGATTGTGTCCTCCACGCGCATCTGGAAGCGGCAAGACAAAGCCGCCCGGGTGCTGCAGAAGGCCTTCAGGAATTACGTTAAGTAAGTGATTAGAGTGGGTTTTGAGGTGAGATGTGCAAGATTGATGTGGGTGGTTTGTTATTCAAGGCGCAAGCTGGAACTGGAAGCTGAGCAAGACGTGGAGGACGAACAGACACAAACATCGTCACCAGGTGATTGGAAGGGTCGCCTCTCGGCGTTCTTGCATGTGCATCGAGGGAGTCGCGCGTCCTCTCGCAAGTCCTCCCGGGCCTCAGACGCGAGCGACCTGAGCGAACTGGGTGGCCCGTGGCTGAATCTGCCACTGCTGTTGCTTTCGAGCGCAGCGAATATGGACCCGGAGGAGTTGGACGCGGCGCGCGAGTCCGCCGATGTCAGCATCAAGGTGCACGGGGCGACCCCGGACGCCATCTCACCAACGCCTGCATCTGTCCCAATCAGACGGCGCAGCATGTGCAACTTCCCGTTCTTCCTGCGCCACCAGGACGCCGTCGACACGACGGAGCCGGCCGCGCCTGCGCTGAGCCTGCACCCAGCCACCGCCGAGGAGGCACGTCCCAAGCGCGGCAGCATCGTGCGCCGTAAGCGCTCGGTGAAGGCCAACAAAGGTGCGAATCACGCGCAGCAGGACGCGACTAGTGTCTCTTCCAGCTCCTCCGATGCGAAGCACGGCACTGATGTTAGCATTTTAGTGACGCAGGCATCGCCCGATTCACCCGGCGCACGCCGCCCCTCACTTATGCGTCAGCAGAGTGAGGCGGCGGCCGGCACCGTGGTGCAGGTGCTGGTGCACCGCGAGAGCGAGGAGTACCGCGCAGCCGACGACAGCGCAGATGAGAGAGACGTCCGCATCATCGTCCCGCCCCGCCAGCCGACGCCCCCGACCTCGCCCCCGCAGCCGCCCCACACCAGCTGATCCCACTCACCCTAAACCTAAGTCATGTACATAAATAAATACATAGCAATAGCGTAGTGACTAAGCCCTAAGCGACCTATGTAATACTAAAATGAATAACAGAGATCCAAACTCGTAGCGGACACGTATCTACACGCTTGATTCGTTTTCGATTGAATTTGAATTACTCACGTTCGAAGATATAAACATAACGAAACACACAACTACAAAAATGGTAAAGTGATTAATTCTAATTAATTAAAGAAAAGGGGAACTAATTACGACGTTGTACATATTACCATGTAAAGTAATTAAGCGAAGCGAAGACAAGGTGATTTTTTAAAGATTGTAGTTACCTAGCTAGTATATCAAAACAAACAGAATAGCGGGTAGCTATTTTGTTCGACGTAAACAAACAAACAAAAAAAAACTACTAAAAAGCAAAAAAGTTAAATAAAAAGATTCCAGTAGCGTTAGAGGAGTAATAAGTAACTTATCGTTAATAAATTAATCCAAGCGATTAAAACGTGAATAAATTATAAAGTTTTTTGTTTCAAATTACGAACGAAACATTGATGTACATTTCAATTGATTCAATCTCATTCTAAGTCAATTACTAAACGAGGAAAAGCTAGTGGTGAATTTAACGATTAACGAAAATAGCTGATCTTTAAACATCCGTAGCTAGTTTGCAGAGATTTAGCAAATCTTTTAGCTTGTTTTTAACGATTAATTGTTACCGATTCGTTCTCGATTCATTGCATTTTCTTACTTGACTCAGCACAAAGCCTCAACGCAAAAACCGACGATTAATTAGGTGTAAAGAAAATTGAGAACAAACTGGAAATTCGTACAATCAGTAATCGTAATAAATTAAACGTAAACTAGTCACTATTAAGATAGATTTAATGAAGAAAATCTGTACATTTAGCGAAAATGATGTTAGAGGTGGAAACTAAACCTTAAAAACAAATGTCGCGTCTGATTATGATGAATTTAGGATGAACCAGAGACATATCGTGCTTGGGACATGATCAAAAATATCAAAAGTAATTGCTTACCGTTCCGAATTTCGCTTCAATATGCTTGTGCAACGCATGTTTTTACAAACTTACTCACGTCACTGCGCTTGTCCGCCATTTTCGAACGACGCTCGTGTGGCAACTTTGAATCCATCAATTTCGAACGATATTCAAACTTTTCGGCGCTGATTTTTCCACTTTGTGAGGCAGCAAAGCATAGCTTTTCGATACGCTTGACGCCTGAATATTATACAATAAACGTAAACGCAAATAAAATACATTTGACAATATTAAGCGAGTAAACGATTTATGAATTGCGAACAATTATGGCGTGAACAAAACAAAAACAAGCAAAACCAAACAAAAACGTTAAACGTTTATGGCCTACAATTAGAGACTAGAGTCTTACAAGGTAATTGATGAACATAAATTGAACATAAAATGAAAAATTTCAAAAATTAAAGCAACAATATCGCGATTTTTAAATGAATGTATAAAAATAGAGCGATAGATATTTAATGTTAACATTATCAAGTGAAATACATATAAATAATGAGAATTTAAAATTTTAAAATTAAATGAGATATTTATTGTATATAAATATGAATATATATTTAATTTCAAACAGAGTTACAGCTTGAAGTCGATTTTTAACACTAAAACAAAGCAAGTACATGCAAAACTTGAGCAGTAATGCCTAAATAAACTTAAAGTAAGTGCTTTTTATAATTATTTGCCTCTATGGTGTGTAAATAGTGAAGAATTTAAACGAAATTTGAACGCATTCGTTATTTACCATTACATTTACATTCAATTGTGATATTAATAAGATTGAGATATGTTTAATATTAATTTTAAGTTTTTTAATTGTTACTTGATACTTGTTGTATTTTACTTGTTACTTTCTGTGCGTTATCATGCAGTTGTATTATTAAGATGTGCACATGTTTTTGAAACGCAAGCAAATTACTGAAAAGTTACTTGATAAACGAAGCGCAGCTCGTCAAACACGATTTTATCGACACACGACGTACGTTAATTAAATTTTATGCCAAAATATTTTAATAATGTACATACAGAGAGTTAAATATTATGAGCTAACGTTTAAGATTGTATCCAGTCACACACAAACCAAGAAAACAAAACCAAGAAAATTTTAAACACATCTACAACCAATTAACTGTATAATCTTTACCGAGAGACATTTTCAATTACTTATTGATTGTAATCATTGTAATTATGTAATTACGTACGCGTGCAAACGTACACATTGTTGGTAGTGATGTAAAATTCGTTGAACAATCGATTTGCCTAGATTGCCTTTGAGATTATTACATTTTTCAATTCGAATGTATTAAACACTATTGTAAAATTAAACCAACAAAAGCGAACGAGCCGAGAAAATCTTCACATTACTATAAAAATAATGAAATTAATGAATAATAAAGTATAAATACGATATCAATAATATAATGATAACGAGACAATTGAATTGACACAACCGAAAGAGTGACGCCGTTTCAAAATGGCACCGATGTGAAACGTAAACATTTAAACTATAAAGATAAACTAATATGAAGATAATTGAATGTGTATTAAAACTATGGGATATCATTGTTAATTTATTACTAAGTTTAGATAACGACATTGATGATACTATCATATATTGAACAGATGATTTTAGCATGTAATTAATTAATATTACAATTAATTGAGAACTTTAGATCAAATTGGGTATTTGACGCTTTTAAATTGAATCGAACAACAAATAAGAATTAATGCTATGTTTTAAACAAAGTTTATTAATGAGAAAATATTTATTTATGTTTTTATTGTTTCCACATTAAAAAGTTTCAGGTGAAACAGGTAAGATCGTGTGTCTAGCATGAAGCCATTGGTACTGCAATTTGTTTTCATTATCTAACCTTACCTAGACTCTCCTCCATCGCTGTTTATTGCAATTTGAACTCGTTTATTTGCGTTTTAACTTCGCGTTCGGACTTTCTTAGCGCAGATATGATCCTGTTATAAAATAAACCTGTTTCGAAGTTTAACTGGTGTTTTTGGTTGTAATAGTCCTAGAAACGCTCTTAAATTCATATTTATTATCATAACATGTACACATGTTAAAATTAGTTACATTTTCTTAAATTTTTGTGGCTAGTATAGATTTCTTTACTTGGTGGACGTACGGGAACGCCTGCTCCAGTGGAAATTGTTAGCATATGATTTTGCTCTAGGTGGTTTTTGTGTAGTTGCATCAATGAAATAATTCCAGCCATTTTTCTCACAATGAGCAATTGCTTCCTCTTTATCATTAAACTGGAGTTTCATATTAGATAAAGGATCTCCACTACAAACATTAACATATTAAGTTAATAATTGGTTGCAGTATTTCATTTAAAATATTAAATTTAAATTTTCTGAAATTACCTTGAACACCAGCCCATCAATGGGTTTTCCCATCTCTCCCTGTTATCAAACTCCATCTCCCAATGGCCAATGTTATCTGTTCCACTCTGCATGCAATTCTTGACTGGTTCATAAATACGAACAGTTCTAGTTTTAATATGTTCCTCAGGAACTCCAGTAACTACAGAAATATTTTCCTAAAAAGAAATATTATCATTTTAACTAGAATTAAAATAAGCAACTTCTCAATTAAGAAATCTATTTGAAAATGTACCTGTCCCTTTATTGTTATATAACCTGCCAATTTCTGTTTTTTCTCAACTTCTTCTTGCTTCAATAAAGCCAAATCTTTACGGATCAGAGTCGGTTCATTAACAGCAAAGTGTGGGGAGCTTGTTCCAAAGGAAGCAATTGGCCTAAAATCAAATATACAATGTAAATATACCCCATAATTTAAGTAAATAATAGAACATATTATTGTTTTCAGGAATTATTTATGTGTATGTTCATGAGATAACTTACAGCTTCAGTGTTGGGCACCGAGCTGCTCCCATACATCTCATCAGTAAAGAAGTCATCATCAACGAGTTTACTACTGGCAAATTGAGGAAAATATAGTGTGATTATAAATTATTTTGGAACGAACATCAGCTGAAATTTTGACAGTTTGGTAGATTATACCCAAGGCCATCCCTCTCTCTTTCAATTCCCCTATTTGCAACGTTGCCAGGTGATACCAACCAAGTAAACTTCGAACACTCTGTTGACAACACTTCGTGATTTAAACAATTGTTGAATAATGAAAACTTACTAAAACTTATTGATAAAAATTAAAATATCAAAATAAGGTATTTTAAGGCATGTCGAAAGGATTTCGACCCATTAAATGATATCTACAACCAATATAATATCAACAGTCTGCAAGCTCGTCGTCAGGTGGCAGATTCAATTTTCTTCTTCAAAGTCGTAAATGGCTTCATTGATGCACCGGAAATCAACAGTTGTTTTGAATTCGCGCCAGTGGGGTTTTCGCTGAGATGTAACCGTCTACTTAAAACTACAAAAACAACCAAAAACTATGTGTATAATGGTCCTCACAACCGCATTGCTCAACTTGTCAACGCCCTGCATAACAAGGTTGATTTCTACAGTGGCTCGCTTGGTGCTTTCATTCCGGAGGCTAAATCACGTCTACTACAATTTCCCTAATTTTGGCTTAAAGTCATTCTCAAAACTATTTTCTTTCAAGTTCTCTTTGTTCTTTTCCCCCTCATATTTATTTATTTATTTATTTTTCAAAATATTGTATCTAATCTAATTGTATATTGCCTATTGGCGTAGGTATCTATCTTTTAAATTAAAAGAATATGTCTGGTGTGAAAGAGGTTCTATATAAATGTATAATCATTTGTCTCTCAAATTGTGGATTCTTTCATTATTTATTATTATTAATTACAAAATTACTTGTATGTACATTCACTAATTATTTATCTATGAAACAAATATTTCATTATTTATTGAAAGTGTCATGCTTCAGGTTTTCGCGCTTTCACTACATGCTCATCCCATTCAACATCTCTCTGATATTATCTCATGAATTGTCTGTCATTTCAATAATGTTTAAACACAGGAACATACAATAAATCATATTGATTAATTTGAGTTATCAAGCGTAAAGATTATAAATAAAAACTGATAATAAATAATTTAATGATATTCACTTATCAATTTAAGTATAGTTATTGTTCCGATTTCGTCTTTTTTATCTTTGGACTTGGTAATTGCCAATTGTTGAATGAATTTTGATAATTTTTGTCTAACTAATAATAAGTTCGAATATAAAATTTACAAAATCTAGTAAAAGTTTCAATCGACACTTTTATACAGAAAAAAATTTTTTGTTAAATAATTATACTTTATAGTTAATTTCATTCAGTAAATTATTTAATTAATACTCTGGTTATTCACGCATTGATATCATTAAATAAACACCTGCTCATTGCTCAAACTATCAGCAAACGGGCTAACAATAAAATTAGTTGCGAAGTAAAATATCAATCCGAAAGCAATTGATATTGGCAGAGCGGGCAGCGCCTTCTTGAAAATCGCTAACAACAGTAAGGTCAAACACAATCCAATCAGAATCGCAACGAAACAAGCCAGCGTAGTATTCCAGTCTCCATATGAAGACGCCTTACCAACCAAGACACTGTAGAAAATGAAATCGCCTAAACCTAGTTTAACACCGCGTTCTTCTTCTGTATCTGAGTGTAAGGTTGTTGTTGGACGACCGGCAGCGCCGTTATCATGCACTTCAACTTGTCTCTGAGCCGCTCTGGCCGCATGATTCTGAACCCAGTCTTCAGTAAAGCCATCTTGAGCTGAAGACCGCCTCCCTGGAAGACCCGTTCCCGCAAATTCTGCATTGGCCATGCCCACATAAGTATACAAGACAGTTGATGAATAAATCAACGCAGGGAATATCTGTTCATTCCTTTCCTGAGCAGTCTCCACTAAAATTCGAAGAGGACCTCTTGGTGTAAGGACAGCAACCAAATCCCATACAGAAATCACCAACAAGACAACCCATGTTGTCCATTCTGGCAGATACTTGATGAATACTAATGCCATCAAAGCAGCAATAAAGATCAAGTAGGCTTGTTGGAGAATGAGTGGACCTTTCCAATGAATAACAATCATACCCATCACTCCAAAATTCCACATCACTATAAATAGTGTGAAGAGATCACATGGTATGTTATAAGCCCTCAGAACTTCCTCCAGATATAAGTATGAGAAAATGCTGAGCAGCATCAGGGATGATACTATCAACCATCCATGGATAACTCTATAGTATCTGTATTTATACAAGACTATAAGCACAATAGTCATCACCACTATCACCCCATAAGGATGAGTGAGTTGGCCACTGCATTCCATACTTTAGTACCAGTCTCAGTGCTTTCTTCATGGAAAGGTGTATACACAAAGTAGATGTCTTTGACTGAGTAGAATGTGATTGAGCGAATTGTTGCTACAACAACCATCATGCACAGAGACACAGGAGCAAACAGTTTAATCACATGTTTTGCACCATATTTCAACTCTTCTTCATCTTCTTGCCAGGTGCCCTCTGCTTGTTGCTGGTTGCTTTGTGGACGGATTCGGACATCAGCACCTCCACTTCCCTACAAATATGGACATGTACAATTAATTTCAAGCATAAAAATTGGTTAATGCTGGAAGTAAATTTACTACCTCGCCGCCGTCTTGTTGTTGAGATCGCGACCGATGCTTGCTCCGCTGGTCTTGGGGGCGGACGTCGCCGCTGCCGCCGTTTGCGGCTACGTGCCCGTCCATCAGTCTTGTGTTCTCCGACGGATTATCGAACTCGCTGTCGCTGTCTGACATGCACACTGGTTATCCGGTGCCGTTTACCGTTAGATTTTCCCCACCGATGCCACGGTCTACTTGTGCAACGGCCGCCGAAGAAGAGCGGGCCGTGATGAAGAACTTTTGTGATGGTTTTGGGCTGGTTGAGTCTGACAGGTGTTTGCACAGTGAGACGTCCGGTTGGTGGCGCCCCCTATAACTCTTGAAATAAAAACTTTATATTATTTAAGTAACAAACATCTATTTCTTGAATAAAATATAGTTGTATAGTTTATTATATAGTTTATTATCTAATTAATAATTTTTTTAAAAGTAAAACACACATGCATTTTGTTTTTAGTAAATTATCTTAAAATTTTGATATTAGGTAAGCCTTTTTTTATCGTGAATAACAAAAAAATTGATAAAATTGATAAAACAGCGATATAATCAAATCTAGATTTTAGGATGTAATTATAATCGTTATTTGTCTTGATCGTGGATGTGAGGACGTCAGGTTTATCCAATTAATTAATTTAATCTCCCAATAGGCGTATTAGCATGTATCCATGCGTAATTTTGCATGAGTCATTTCATCGGGTATCCCCGCGGCTTCCTTCCTTAAAATCATTCCCAGTGAAATTCACTTGATTCGCTGATATCGCCCCGCAAAAAATAAAAAAATCGCTCTCCCTACCCGGCGCTGGCGCTCCGCGCAAGCGCACGTATTTGTATAGATCGAGCTCGCACGCAGCGCGAAACCACACAGTGCGACTCAGTTTTCGTGCCGTTGTGAGTGAAACGTAGCGGCGCTGTTCCAGCGAAACGTGTGCGGTGTCATCGCCCAGACTTTCGTCGACCGACAAAACAAAACCCACCGTAAGTATGAACACAATCAGTTAATCAGTAGCACTTGAAATACGCGAGTTATTATACTATAATCGAGCAAATCGGTGAGTCGACTGGCATCGAAGAGGCCCGGCCCAAAAAGCCACTGACGTTTCTAGTGTCATAGGACATAAACTTCTAGGTTCAGCTGTAAATGCTGCTGAATTCATCGGAACGAGCAGCAGCACCTTATTATAAATGTGTCGTGATCTCATGCGTATCATCAGCGATGATTTGAGACAGCTGACACGCTGGTTTTGTGCGGTACAAGTGTTGTGTAGTCATTGGGTTTTCAGCCGACGGGTTGCGCCTGCACCGCCCGCATACGGCGGCGACCGTTTGCAGCGGCGGCGGCAGGCTTACATATTGATTTTCTTCACTCGGGGGTTGTCCAACGCACACATACTTGGCGGGGGTGCTGCGCGATTACTCCTCGCACCTTGAAACATGTTCGTGTTGGTCGGGCGCCATCAGCTTTGGTACCCCGGTTTGTTTCCTTATTTCTGCGAGGGCGGAAAACAGAAAAACAATTTCAAATTAAACAACAAGTGTGTTTCAACTCTGACATTTTATTATAGGCTAAAGTTTATTTTTTAATCTGATAAAGTGTGTAAAACATCTATAAAATGTTAAGGAAAAATGCATTATCATTTTGTACTTTTCCCTATTTTTTCATTTCAATCATCTTCAGTCTGTCTTTCCTTCCGCGGGAACTGAGAACGGAAATAACTAACAATATCTCCTCCCTAGTACCGTCGACAGCTTCCTGTTTGCGTTGCCTTGGTCACTATTCAAGTGCATTGCAGTACATGCTTTGACAATTATCGCCCCTGCTGATAATTGTGTACTGCTGTTAATGTCCTAATGTTTGAGCGCCACACCGTCACCGTGTGTGGTTGGTGATGCGTCACATTCGGTACCAGTTCACTTGCCCACTTACTGCATGATACGCAAATAAATATATTCATTATGTTCGTAATTGCGACAAACGCGACATAAACAAGTTGGCGGTGTGTTCATGTGCGCTTTTCATTTACAATTAGATCATGACCTATGATAAAATTGTGATCGTTATTCACTCATTGTGTGCTTAAATTTAAATTAATGGGCCTAGTTTGTAAAACATTCTGTTAGCAAAACTATTTTCTTTTATGAAATCCTCTTCAATGTTCATGACAGAAAATGACTTTTTTTTCATCCCTGGAATCTAGGACGTTTTTTACATCATTCCTTTTAGATTTATCAACTCTAGTCTGTCCTTGGTCTTCTTTCTTTTATTCATAGTTTTTCACACGGAAGGCAAGTGTTTTAGGAGTGTTTTCCGCTGAAATAAAACATGTTAATGGCTGTGTTACCGCACGCCATGTATTTTAATGTTTACCGGCATTAGGCTTGGCGATTATACCGAAATTGGCGTGGTTCTTCCCTTGGGAGACAGATTAAACATGCTAATGCCTTCCCTACAGGGTGTACCTCAAAAAATAATTACTTGCACAAATATTTATGCTGTATTAACGATGTTTTATTTATTTTCAGTAAAAAAATGCCTGCCCCAGTTGAACCTGAAGCCGGCGGCCCGGAAAATGGCCAACCGAGGTCCGAGCTTCAGGAGTTGCAATTCCGTGCTGGTCAAGTCACAGATGAGGTAACTACACTGGCAAACTTTGGACTATTTTTATTCAATATGTAATTTTGTTTCATTTTCCAGTCGCTCGATAGTACAAGACGGATGCTGGCGCTCTGCGAGGAGGTAAATATAACCATTTCATACTAATCCGCAAAATCGCATTTACCAAGCATTGAAATATAAATTAACTTCTCTCATCTCTTCGAATGATGATTGTTGATATATTCCGTCAATGTGCAAATCTTCTCAAAACTAAGCGCCACGCATCCTTCGGCCCGGCTTCTCGCCGACCCGCCCGACTGTCTCAGACTCTGCTCTCTATTATATTCCACCGGAACACAATGTGGTGTCTCACACAATCGATGTGATTCTCTCCTATAACATTCACTCGTCTCTCACCTGAACTTGTACGACTCGATGTCACTTTTTCACATGCGACTTTCGATCACTCTCGGTGCTTTCGAAGTGTTGTCAATGAGCATTAAATCAAATCAATTTAAAAAAAGCGGTTGATTTAATAACCTAACTGTTGATATATTGATGTCTTTCTTGGGTGTGTGTCTGTCCTGTCTGTTGGTGTTTTTTCGTTTTTATGCCCAACGTTATGATTTTGCTTTTTGGGGAGTACTCATTTAAGTGGGGCGCACTTTTGTAAAATGGGGGCCATTCGTTTTTTTTTTTTTTGAGATTTTTGCCATTTTTGTTTGAGTTTTATGATTTGTTCCTCAATGACAACTGAGAAGGAACATGGGGACTTTAGGTGGATGTGTCTTAAATATCTGTGCTGCATGTTGTTGTACTTCTGTCTGTCTTAACATATTCTTAACTTTTATGTATGAATAAGTTTATTATACAGGGTTGGCGCATTGCTTAAATTTCTATTGCTCTGTGTAATAATCTTATTCATCACCTTGTTTTCGAAAAATGAAAAAAAGTCAAATAAATCGGAGCAGGCCTACCGCTCAGCCGGTTTGTTTTCAATACTTGTCAAAATTAGCGCATTGCTCGCACACGTGTGTCTAAAGAATGTTTCTGGACGCCCGGAAAAGTCTCGAAGGGAAGGAAGGGCTGCTTGTGTGTTGTGGCGGGGGTAGTCCTGCCGAAGTGGCTGCCAGAGTGTGCTGTGTTCCATGTACAGCTGCATTCCACACACATACTCGCAGACCAGACACAACCACCCCACAGCCATGACATTCTCTCTCTCAAAACCAGTGTTTTTCGTTTGCGTTTATTATTTATTCACCACCGTGGCGCGCGTCCCTGCGAAATCATCCAATCTGTGTCTCTCCCCACACACGTCGTTAACTTTGTTCGTGTAAACAACTTTTTGTTTCATTACACCCCTTTGTCCCTTTTGGTTGGATTTAATTTGCACGCGACGTGCGTTGTTTTACTTTTATTTTTGGGTTTTTGGTTTCTTTTACAACATCAGTTTTTTTCTTGATTCTATATCTCTTCTCATCTTGATCTGATACTTCTCTCGGCTTTTGTTTTGATTTCACTTGATTGATTTATTTTTGTGTGTTTGGTGTATTTGTGGATGTCTGTTAAATACTCGTACAACGAAAAACTGTAAGATATCTAACTGATACCATCAAAATTAATGACTATAAGACTCGACAGCACTAACAACCATTAAACTACCGTTAAGTTTGCGATTTTTTCAAACTTCTGTGACAACTCTCTCTAAAAAAAACGAATGATAAACTAAACTTAAGCCCTAAAATTACTTATATATTCACTAATTAAAGCAGGCTTAGTCTTCTGTAATTGGAAAACTTTTGTGGGACTTTTGTGGGAAATACTGAGCCTCTTTTAATTACAACCACTAGTAATAACTACTAAATGCTTTGATGAACTCTAAATAACATCGGAAATAAATGCAACTCCCCCGAAACCCTTTGAACCCGTCTTCTTTCTCTCTCTCTACCGACCAAAATCGAACATGATAATTAACATGTATATTGACTAACATACAAATGTAACACTGTTTTGTGCTGCTCTAGAGCAAGGAGGCCGGAATCCGAACCTTGGTCGCTCTAGATGACCAAGGAGGTGAGTCCTCACTCAGATCTCTTCAATTCTTCAACTCTTCAGTGCTCTCTTTCACCAATTCCCAGCCTGCACCCAACAAAACCTGTCTCTCTACATCTTCGCCCACTTGATCACAGTCATCAATAAAAGTCACGAATCATTACGAATCAATCACATCTGGATATAGCAAGGATGTAAATTTACATTTATTGAATTGTGGGATGTATGCGGGAATTGAAGGGTCGCGTTTGGACATTTGAATCACAATGGCACCACGTTTATTAGAGCTGAATGGGAGATGTGCGTGAGAAATTAATTATAGACGTGAATCGAGGGCAAAACGCGAAGGAGACGAATGAACATTAATCATCGACGGTTGAGCTTCACACGCCACGTGGTACACACCGCGAAGGCTTTGTTTGCGAGAACGCGGTACTAATGGATTCATCACTTTCATTCCCCTTCTCCCGCCTGTTCTCAACAAACCACTTTGCAACCATAACCAGATTTTTCCACCACCAGGAAACCTCCAGAAACATCACCATCACTCATTACATCTCATCACTCATGAGATCACTCCAAATCTTGATCACTTATATCACTTGCCATCACTGAATATCACTTGATTTCACCTAATATCACATGACGTAAATGTTTGAGTCATTATGCTTTTTATACAATAAAATAAATTAATTACTACTTTTGATGATTAATATTAAATTTGAATGTTTGTTGTAATAAAAAGCATAAACCAACTTAATATTAACTGATTATTGATTTATTTTTACTTTTCTGATACTTTTATTACTATTACTACAAGCGTCGTTGTTTGTGAGCTTTTGATCTCGTTTCCGGGTTGGGAAGCTCACGAATGATTGATGGCAATATGAAAAATTAATGGAATATACTAACAGTCTGCAACACTCATGTCACACTTATGCATGCCGCTTGATAGCTTGAGTCTGCGCAGCCACCCCCTTTGTTTGAACTGGCCGAAAAGTTCAGTGAAATGTGCGTGAACATTTGTATCTGTAATGTGTTTTTTCTCTACTCTCTTTTCTAGCTTTTATATCACTATCGTAATAATCGATGTTTCGCTATCTAATGTGTTTCTAATTTCACGTTTTAAGTTTTGTTCACTCTTCGATGGGTTTTAAATGAGTTTTTATGCGTATTATTTTATAATTTACGTTCACATTTGTTGTCATCACCCATGATTGTTGTATGTTCACATGTATTTTACAACACGTGTATAATTTATTTCTTTTCTATTGATTTAAATGAATTTTGTTGATGTGTTATTATTAATGTTTCCGTTTTTGTCGATTCTATTGATTTAAGTTAGTTGAGTGTTTTGTAGAGCACAGATGCCGGTGCAAAGACGTTGGAAATGTTGTCACACCAAGGCGGTAAGCAAATAATTGTAAACGAACCTCACCAAATAATATATAATATAATTAATCAACCAGCCCGACTGACGAAAATGTGCTCAAAGTTTTCTCTAATCTTACTACAAACTGTTTTTCTCTCTGACTGTGTTTACTGGTTTGGTTTTGTAATCGTTTTTTTGGTTTTGGTTTAACAGCAATGCGATTCCCGTTTTAAAAACAAATGGTTTTGGGTTTTATTTTCATCACCAAACTAATAATTTATAAAACTAAACGAGGAAAGAAAAATTGGTGCTCATAAATAGGAAAATTCGACGATACAGAGACGAACACTGAACCAAAAGACATATTGACAAAAGTACACGTCACGCTATACATGATTTCTTCAATCTCTTCGTCCCCGATATGCAGTTTAGCTCCCATTTAGGTGTTAGCTTTAACGAAAAATGGTTCAAACTCGGATGTGTTTTTCCTTTTTGGGGGGACGTTTAGTGATGCGATGACGAGCCGGAGATACTGAACACAAGCCGTGTGCGCCCTGCATTAATCCGAAGGACTAACATGCACTTCTTGTTGATGTCTGTTTGTAGAGCCACGAGGTCGGGATGAAAACCCTGGTCATGCTGGATGAACAGGGGGGTAAGCATTATTAACTCATCCACTAAGACTATATAAGCAAGCCTTGCGCATCTCGACTGTACAGAAATTCTAACAATGAGCAACAAAACAGATCTAGCTACAGAAATTAATTTTTAACACCCGAAAGAAATGCTTACTTTTCGAAAACTCTCAACTTTCAATCGAATTCCAACCAACAAGTAACAAAAAACAATGAAAACCATCAAAGTCTCCATTGAACGGTTTCGACTTTACCTACGTACCATTTTTGACATTCTATATTCTTGTTATTTTTGATTTTCAACCAAGTAAAGTAAAGTACAATGAAAACTATTATTATCTTTTCGTATCTCTCTCCACATGGGGTAAGTTTTGAAAAATTCCCTCAAGTTATTGAATCACATCTGGTACTGGTGACTATTCAATAATTTGACTGTTTGTAATTTGCGTCACAGCTAATTAACAAGAATGACTATTATCTTATTTACAACATGCACACAACAAGACGCTAACAACAACGAAACAATGCAACAATGATACAACAATCAACCGGACTTGACACTAGTAAGTTGTCGCAACTCTGCCATAAACTACTAAAATCTCGAGGGACAACTTACTTTATCACCTGAGGAAAAAAATTTGCTTACTCAGAACGGTCATCAACTTCAAACATTGATTATTTTGTTTTGGCCACATTTGCATTTGGAGAATTTCTCGGAGTTTTTTGATTTTGATTACCTATATATGTCACTATTATCACTCTCAACTGGCGACTCTACTGGGATACTTATTTAAATTATTGCATGCTTCCAACATGTACTTACTACTGAAAGTATTAATGCGCATTTAAAAGTTGTGTCTTAGTTGTATATCTCCTTGGTTGGTTTCGTTAGTTTTTAACATACATTTAGCAACACCTTTGTACCAATTAATCGCACGTTGTCGCATGCCGTTTACATCTTGATTCCCACTTCACTCAATACTCTAGCTTGTGAATATATATAATTGAATATATTTCAACCTTAATTCACTAATTATACCCCACATATTAATCTCTGATATGATGTGTGTGAAATACAAGTGTTAGCAGACTGACTTCTAGTATAGTTTTAATTATATTTTGAGAAAGTTTTGCTTTTGATTGACACGGCGTGGGTGAGAAGAGAATGCTTGACTTTGCTGTTTCTGTCTAGAACAACTCGATCGTATTGAGGATGGCATGGACCAGATCAACGCCGACATGAAGGAGGCTGAAAAGAATCTGACTGGCATGGAGAAGTGTTGTGGGATTTGTGTCCTGCCCTGTAACAAGTAAGTGAATGCAACGAAACTTATAAAAATATGATTACTCATGATTGTGCTTCGTAGGAGTTCATCGTTTAAGGAAGATGAAAGCACGTGGAAGGGCAACGACGATGGAAAGGTCGTCAATAATCAGCCGCAGCGTGTGATGATGGACAACGGATGTGTGGCGGGTGGTTACATTGGGCGCATCACGAACGACGATCGCGAGGTGGAGATGGAGGATAATATGGGCCAGGTGAACACGATGATTGGTAATCTGCGCAACATGGCGATTGATATGGGCTCCGAGCTGGAGAACCAGAACCGGCAGGTCGATCGCATCAACCTCAAGGTACTGTGTGGAAGTGTGCACTGTTTTCTCACCCGTACAACCCAACATTTCACCTACCCGCGTCACAAACTTCAATTTTCACCACCCCATTCACCAAACATTGACAAACAGAGAATCAACAGCTGTAGTTGTAAACTTGTTGGTCTCTTCTACTTCTTATGAATATTGTTTGACGACAAATCAATATTAATCCACTAAAAACAGAACAGAAAACAAACCAATAATGATCACGATCGCTTTCGTTATTCTTCTATTTCAATGACGATTCTTTTCTGTTTGCTATGCAAAGCATTGTATTGTGTTGCGTATAGCCATCCATACGATATTTGTGCCACATACGTAGACCTATATAGACTGATGTTTATGAAAAGGTCCTTTGTTAGAGTCGCGCTCAGCGAAAAAATGAATAATCAATGTCAAGGTTATTAAAGTTTCATTATGCCGTTATGCTGTTCTTGTGCTCGCGTATATTGTGGATCGTTCAACGGCACCTGCACGAGAATAGAAGAAAAAAAAGGAATCGCGGAACAAAAATGAAAACCGTATGAAAATGCATACTATATATAGGTGGATGGTAATACGCAATGCGTGTTTTCAGTATGTAGAATGTTAACGAGCTTAAATATTAATAACTTTATGGTTTTTCACGTTTATTTTTTAAATTAAACAACATAAAGTTTAATATCAAATATTACATTATATTAATATTAGTTTTTGGTGAAAACATTCTGCATACTTTAAAAATAATAATTTTTCCCAGTTTTCGGTAAGATATGTGACAATGTGACGCTTTCGTGGCTTAAAACGCGCTTATTTCTCTACAGCTACAAAATTTTAATCAATTTATTGGTTAGCGATGTTGTGCTAGATAAGCTTTCGATATTGATTTCTCTCAAATAATATTGCGCTCTACAGTGAAGTAAATAATATTGCATCGTTGCATGTTTAATATGTAATTTATTAACATTCCATGTGTGTGTCGCAGCGGCGTAAACCTTAACGTTATTTTATTGTTACTCGGCGTTTTAAAAAGCGTGCTGTGATATTAATATTTACTCGTAACTGAATTATTGATGCGAATAAATAACGTGTTACTCACGTTGAGAGCTGACATGTGATGTGTTAGTGGACAATGAGCATGAACGACATGTGCGATATGAAAAGTGTGCGAATGGTTTATGTAGTGCATAAATGCGTTAAAAGTTTACAATAGATCATATATCTTTATGTTCTCGTGTCTGAGAATAAACAGGGATTGATTGGTAAATGCAGTGGGATAAGAAATAGTATTTCAGTGAAATATAACAAAGTTTTTAATAAATTAATTCTTCAAGATAGGTTTATTAGTCTTTAAATTGCTCGAGTCTAATGAAATTCGTGTCGGAATGGAAACTTGTTTCAATTTGCTGTAACAGTTTGCTGTTTCTTTTTATCTATATATACTGCGATTCCTGCAGACTTGGCTTGTGATTCGCTCGATGATGCTGACTCCCCAGAGTTTACACCCCCACCTCCTTTTCGTCCTGCACGACTTTCCTACTCGATGTTCTTTTACTTTGTTTCTAGTTTATCTTTCACGCCCGGTTAATTTCAACTACAGCCTCTCTCCGATGTTTCTAAAATCAATATTATAAAATTAATTTAATATTGAAAGTTAGTATTTATTTATTAATTTATTAAAACTTTTCACTTAATAATTCTACTAGGATTTTATCCATCCAAAGGATGTGTTTATAAATTTATGAGTTGCTTTTCTTGTTTTTTGATATAAATTGTGTACAATCAGTATTTCCTTGTGTTGGGTTTGCAACCTTTAATATCCTTGAAATAGGGTATTGTCTCTGGTGTGTTTGCGACGTGCTTTTTCATGGAGACGTGCTTTTCTATCGCGGTGAATCGCATCGAAATATACTCGACGCTGAGTTATTTGCTCTCGCTCTGTGTGTTATACCTACTTTTCGTTTTTGTTCTTGTTTACTTTCCACTTTTTCCATTCAATACAGTGGTCGCGCTGCCACTGTAGTGTGGCGTTGCGTCACAGTTCAAACATTCATGCACTTTTATATTGAAATATTCATCCATACAACCCTTTGCTCGGTGGATAGTGGCTGTGTAAGTGCCTAGTGATACGACCAAGCCTGCGACACTTACACACCTTGGTAAACTTTAGCCTGGTTTGGGTGGGGAAAATGTTAGCGAGAATGTTTGGCGTCGTCGACTCCCCGAGCATTTGATCGATATATGGTAATGAGCTATTTATAGCAAAATAGCGGGTGTAGTGCACTTTTTCTGAAGGTTCATATTATAGCTTACATAATACCATATCGCATTCCGGTTTACTAGTATGTGTGCATAGAGTGTAAGTGCCAATGGATAAATATGAATGACTGATGTGTGACTGGCATGATTGTAACTTGTAAAGTTAAATGAAAATGGATAACTGGAAAATACAGGGCATGCTAGTTGGTAAACTAAATCGTTTTGTGGTTAAACCAATCGATTATTAATATCAACATAGGCATAGAAAACGTAAATCGCATCAATAATTTAGTGTCGCACGAGTACAATATGAAAATATTTATATTTTGCCATCCAAGTTGTTGAAATTGATTTAATTCTATAGAATTATTCAATTTACATATTAATGACTTGAATTAAGTCGAAGAAAACGAGTAACATTGAAAATATTGTCTTTCTTCATGATTGAGTTGCGTTCCCTTTCATTTCCTCATTCATTTTCATTACTTCGTCACTTCCGGCATTTATTATTTCTTCTGTTCTTTAATTTGCATTTGTTGGTGATTTCTATGTGAACGTTTCAATCAAGACAATTTAATCAATTTAGGAATTTCTTGTATAAGTTGGCATAAAATGCATTTTTCAAAGGATTGCCATCCTAAATATTTGCATGAACATAAAAAGGGATAATAACTGGGAAGTCGCTTTACCTTTTAAGGTTGGCGCACTCTCAGAGGAGGTTTTATAACTCTCTGAAAATCTGGAACGCTTTAACTTTCAAGATATTTCGCTGTGCATTTATAAAAAAAGTAAAAAGGGTTCCCAAAGTACTTTGGAAGCTTAACTTCTATAGAAAAGATTTGTCCTGAAATCGGATTTTCACTTAATATAAAAAGTGTTTGACTGCTTTGATTTTTCCGTTTGCATATGTCAGATAATCTACAAAACTTTTATTTACCAACTTTCAATATAAGAATTTTATTTTTATGCAAATTTTAAATTGATTGGAACGTTTGCGTAATTATTTCAATAATTGCGAATTTACTTTTCATTTCTAATCTTCCGCATGCGGATCAGCCATTGAAATTAAAATTAAATGTTTCATCTTGATTTTAAATTTCCTTCATCTCCGAACACGAATAGAGTTGTTTTGAAGCACTTGAAACTTGAACTCAGCGGTAAAAAGCATAAAACGATTCATTAAATGTCGGAAAAGCGTCTGGTCGCTCTGATGGAAAACTCGCGCCGCAACATTTCAACTTGACGTCGCACTTGACGGAAATTAACACGCTGCAGGCACGAAGCAGATTTGAGTAGATATTCATTTCGTTTCTAATTTATGAGAAATAATTCATGGTTTGAAATGAACAAAGGACATACTAAAATGAAGAAACGCAAGAAACTTACTTGCTTTTGTGGTAATGTATAGAATTGGACTGATTTTTTGATACAAAAGAAGTTCATTAGGACTCGGTTCTATTGTTGAATTATATTGTCATAGATTGGACCATTTTAAACGTCCAAGAAAGCTTTTTCGACATTATTCGCGATATTAATAAGTAAGTGGTGCTTCAAAGCAATGATGTGTGACCTGTCAACTGTTTTTATTCTACTTTATCCTTGCTGTACGATTTTATGAAAAAAGTTTCTTTATTTCACTGTTATTTATGTGAAATTTATGAAACGACGCAAAAAATATGTGCAAATGTGTTTTTTAAAATAATCTTGATGTGCTCTCTGTTCTTTTTTACATTGCCCACGATTCTCTACTCAACTCATCCGTACCACAACAATTCTACTAATACTTCAACAACTATATTAAAATAAACAACAAACCGACTCACCTACAAAACCAACGCCGCTACAATTACTCGCCTATATACTACTAATTCAATCCGACAATGATGAACTAAAATGCTACAAATAATCATTAAACTCTTCTGTCATCGATGGCGATGGCTGCGATTGTTGGTTCAATGTCGGAAAACAGGGCGAATCCAACGCCACGCGGATACAAATGGCCAACGAGCGCGCCCACGACCTACTCAAGTAGACAGTACCTAACAGTGACAGTAACACGATTCGAATGTTTTACATGTGTTTACAATGGACATGGAGATGTACTATTATTATTATTATTATTACAATTACAATTGGGGTGCGTTCGATCACGTCGAGATCCGATAATTTATCATACATCAAACGTTTAAATGTATAGTTGTTACAGTTTACAATAATGAATGTTTCGGTCGACTATGCTTTGGTGGAATTTTCTTTACGTGTGTAATGTTTATAACAATTTCGACGTGGTGGAACGCTCCTGTGAACATACCCCTCTTAACAAGTTGACAAATTAACAAAAAAAATGCGAAAGTCTAGATTTTTTAGGAGGCATGCACAAAAACCAAATTTAACATCACTGAACTTATCTAAACTTTTCTGAAATTATTAGCTAATCTAATCTGTATTAATTGATTAACTTTTAATAGTTGAGTTTTGAACGTTTTGTACAGTCGTACAACTAACATACATCAACGCGCATATGTTGTGCGTGCAATTATTATATCTAAACAATTAATACTAACGTTAATATAAAACATACTGCAAATTTGTTACGATGTGAAAGTCTGTAATAAGAAGACGAAGAGCGGAACAGGTGTGTCATTGTGTAATTTGCTTCTGCTAGGGCGAGAGCAACGAAACGCGCATCGCGGTCGCAAATCAACGGGCCAACAAGCTACTCAAGTCCTAAACCGGGAACGAAGTCGCCTTTTATATACACTTCTATCTCTACCTTCTTCACTATAACTTATAACTTGTAACTTTGATTATAGTTTACATAGTTTAACAAACAAGCAAAACATGCATTCGAAGAACAGCTAAATATAGAGAAAATTGTAAAATGTAGCATAAAATGTAACAAAAGTTTACCAAATCAATTCAATTAAATGAAACAATTACTTTACAGTTGCAATTATTACAAGTACGATGATAATATTCTTAAACTAACTGTAAACCAGGACCGTACACGCAGGAAAATAAAGATGTAAAATGTAAAAAGTATGCATAATACACGATTGTAATTATGAACATGGAATGTTACGAATTCGATTCTCAATGTTGCTTAGAATTTCACTTAGTACTTATATAGACGTTATTCAGTCAAATGTAACATCTATACGTTGTATCACCAAATGGATAAACTATTCGTACGATATGCCTATATCTATGATCTATGTATCTGCGTATAATATTTGAAGAAATTATTGTCGTTCACACCAATACAAAACACGATGAGCAGAGACCGAAATTGTCTTATAAAAGAAGAACAAACAAATGTTTAAACCTACCAGCTCTACAACTAGTTACTATATAATGCAACAACGAAAAACTTCGCTAATCAATAGTTTTAGTTTAATTTATTTGCACTTTTAATGAATATAAAGAAGAATATTAAGTGGACGGTATGTACTTACGAGTGAGATTTTTTATATTGCTTAGTTAGTAATCAATTGATTATATTATAACACAATACTGATATGTAATTGAAAGGAACAAGTAATTTTTACATGAAGTGGAACATAGGCAAATGCGTGTAGAGTTGGTAGGGTAATACTAAACACGTTGAAATATACTAATTGAAACTAATAACTGTTTGTTATATTTGTTGAATTTGAAATTTGATGATGGTTAATGATTGTACGCGCAGGAATGTGTTACGAACGCTGAGATTACTTGAGATTGCTTGAAACTAAACAAAATAAAACTTTACTGTAAGGTAAATACGACGCACACCAATAAAAAAACATTGTAACGCGAGCGACATTTTGCACGTTACATGTGAAATCCTTTCTAGACGTGCGGGATGTCATTCGTGTTGGATTTATTTTTATGTTTGACACACATGAACGCGAAGAAAACACGAAAGACAAGCGAAAGCAAACTAGTACATATAATGTGTTATCGAATAACTTCTTCAACTTCAAAACTTGTATCATACTGTCTTGTAATCTAATGTTTGGTTAATTTTAAGATTTAATTTAAACCAAAACTTTCAATCCCAATCTTAATGTTTAAATGATGCTAAGATTTGTACGTGTAAATAGACGCAAAAAGGACATTTGTCGAAATGTGGAAAACAAGTCAAAAGTCACACACACTCTTCACGATTTACACTAAACGCTATTCCTAAACAATATCTATGTCCATCTTGAATTATGGTTAATCCTTGATATTATTCACATTGCGACGTGATAACAGTTACACGCGGTCACTTGTTACGGCGAATTGTTGTCAAATATTTGGGTGCGTTAGCCTGCGACGTGTTTTCAATGAGTTTTAAGTTAAAAAGAGTCAAATGAAAACGATGAATCTTCCATTTGTGACGTTTTTATTGTGGACGTGTTTTGAATCCTACCGTTTTATTATTAGTAAATGCGTTAGAAATGGACAAGATGATGAAACAAAGTGATACAATTATACACGATTATTATGTAACTAACAAATGATTAAAAACAAAAAATGCATCAAACAGTACTAACTAACAAACACATATACATGATGAAACTATTCGAAACTATATAAAACAAGAAACCAAAAAGCTAATAGCCGGCTGTATTAAGTAGTTATTTATGTACTGTACGAAAAACTCGATACGATAACGGCGATGCGACATTAAATAACTGAACGTGTTAGAAATGTAAACCTAAATAACACACAACTGAGTCACGAATACCCGAAGCGTTTTTCGTTTGTCCTGTCGCAAGAATATTTCACGGTAATTGTAATGTCGTTGATAGAGAATATTGGTAGCAATTAAATGCGATCGTCGATGGCGATCCGTTCACACACTCATATCAATCTGCAACACTTGCAATAATAGATTTTGCGCGGCGGGACGAATGAGAAATTTGATTATTAACACGATAATTAACATGCGACTTGCGAAATTCAAGCTGAGGTCGATGAGTCTACAAAGAAAGTGATTTTTGGCGTATTAGTACATAAAACGTCGAGTTTTAGTCCTAAAATTTTTGCTTATTATTATATATATGAAATATATATAAAGAAGAAGGGATACATGATGAAATAATATGTAAACATAGTTTACTACAAACAAAAATGTATTATCATTAATTATTAAATACTATTATATTACAACTATGGTGATGATTATAATTAGTATAGTTTATTAAAAAGAATAAAATATTAAACATCATTGTTATGATTTTATGAATTAATTTTCGTCAAAGTCGTCTTCCACTGTTTTCATGCTTGCTTTTTGTACTAACATATTTTTAGCTTCATTCTGAATTAGTTTGCCACGTCGTGTAAATGTTGGGTCAAACATTTTTCCTTCTGGATTGAATTTGAACAAATACTCAGCAAGATAATCAATGGGATCGTCTGGCTTAATCTTGGCAATTTCAAGCAATCCATGTGTCAACGTTGGAAAAACATGCATCATTAGGTAATGCCGTAGTGGTTCACATTGTGCTTGTAATAAACTTTCTTCTTCTTTTTGTAGTTCGTCGAGAATGCGAATGCGTTCTTCCATCTTTTCTTGGTATTGCTCCAATGCTTGGCATTCCAGTATCTGAATATATTTATGATTAGTTCAGAGTTTAATGGTAGTTAAATTATTTTTTGTCTTACTTTTCTATCAATAGCTTTTTGTTCTTCTTTTAATTCATCTGCTTGCTGTTGACATCTAAGAACTTCTTCCTGTTCTTCTGGACTGGTTTCAAAACCGATTGGCAGACCTAGGGCATCGTGAACTTTCTCGTATAATGCTTTCATATCGCCCACGTTCATGATGCTGACGATTATGGGATGAATCTCGTGCCCGTCGAAGAAATTAAGTAGGGAATTTTCTTCGGTGTTATTGTCTCGGAAGAATTGAAGCCGTTTCATCATATTTTCTTCTTCAAATTCTTTTCCCTAAACGAGTTAATATGGATTTACATATTTAGGGATTGTAATGTATGTTATAGGACATATTCTCTGTGTCTGTAATTTTATCAGAGAAGATGAAGAAGGCTTTTCCAAGTATAAATTATATGTTCACTTAGAATGTTGGCACTCGGTGCCATGTGACCTCAAACTTATATCACAAACTACTTATTATTTATATGTTCACTTACAATTTTCTCAATTGGTAAATTATCACTGTGTGAAACTGGGACAAATCGCTAATTTACTATATCTGGAAATGCAATAATATTGATTTTAGTACCTGCTCCGGATAGTTCATCATTACTTGAATTAAATATTCATTGTCAGCTTCTAAGGAGATTACAAATTGTGGCGCAATGCTAGGCCCAGTAATCATATCGTAGTCTTCTTCTTCACCCTCACCCTCACCACCATCATGGTGAGCGTTTAGTTCCGGACCAAATAATGCCACACACTAGCAATAGCATAGCTATTAATACATTGTAAAAACAAGCGGAATTTGAATTTACTTGCGACATAGTTTTGGGATATGCATCTAAAACATATCCTTGATTTTGACAAATATTACTCGCCAGAAACTGTCTCATCAACTGAATTACGAATTCATCAGGCAAAACATTGTCATTATGCTCTAAAGTGGTCTCCAATGTGGCTAGTTTCTCTTGAAGATCATCTAAATTAACTACAGGTTCATATTCTTCATCTTCTTCTTCACCTACATATTCTTCTCGTTCGCTGGCTACATTATCTGATTTCATTTTACGAGCTTGTAATTCCGCATCAATTTGATGACGCTGTCACAAATGCTTGTTGAAAATAAGTCTTTATAGTTTAAATGGGATAAAAATGTACTAACCCAATTCTCTCGAGTTTCTTCAATCATAGTCTTTACGTTGATATAATGCACACCATAATACTCCGTTAGATGGGTAGACAAATGTGTTCTACCACTGGCAACTGGACCATGTACCAAAACCTTCATCGGGATCAGATTCCTTGCATCACGGAACTCCATCACAATCTTTTTCATATTTTGCACCATATTAAGATCACTCCTATATTCCAATTCTAATGTATCCAGAATATAAGCCGGTTCCATTTTTAAGTTAATGGTAAAAATATCATACAATTTTTGCTAAAATATAAATCATATTGCAACTTGCTAAATATGCATACAAATTTAATTCATACAGTGATTGAGTTATGGAGAAATGCATCTTCTTTAACGATTTCCTTGACACCTTTTCCCATAGCAGCTGCTAAAGCCCGCATTATTTTACCAAGTCGACATGGAACCTGCTCCACAACAAGAATGTATTGTTTCTTTGGTTTCAACTCCAAAATAGCATGAATCACTCTAAACATTGTTAATTAAAATATAAATAGTTTATAACTTTTTATCTTTCTACTTAGCAACATCCTGAATGTGAATCAAGGGAATATAGTTATTGCCAGGTAGTACGATGGGTAAGTCTTGGTTTTCCCAAGCCATTCTAAAAAACGGATTAAGATTATCTTCCTCAAATCCGTATGGTATTCCACAACAGACAACGTAGGTTTTTAAATTGTCTTTGTACTAAAATGTTATTTTATGTAAATTTATTTGTGTTATATTATTAATTTAATATTACTTTTCGTCCTTTTAAAACAACTTCTCGCTCACAAGCAATTTGCTCTTGATAATTGGTACTTGCTTTTCTCTTTTTATAATCAGCTTCAGTAAATGGTATCTCCGGATCATCTTGATCAATTGGTTTAGTTTTACTCCATGATAAAACACTGGATATTAATATGAATACGTATACACGATCGTATCTTTGATAGGTTTTTGGACCGATACTTTTTATTGATTCGATTTCATCGATTATCACTGAAATATTTTAATTAATTAAATGTACTATATATAGATTAAATAATTATTACACTTTAGTGTATTTAATGCTTTCGGTATCTCTCCCATGTCATTACTGATATCGAAAATGACAGCTCCGGAAGTAAGAATATGTTTTTCCAGAAGTTTTTGATCAGCTTCACTTACAGTGTAAGCAATGTCTTCAGTAATCGTTCCAAAGCGAAATTTTACTGTACCAATACATTCGTACTTCTCAACTACAGGGAGAACACCAGATATTTCATTGGGATCATCACCTTCTCCTTCGACTTCATAACCATGTTTCAGAGCTCCTACTTCTTGCTCAACCAAAAACTATGAAAAAGAGTTGTTACTAGTATTTAGAATACTTCATTCTAAATTATGTGTTTACTTCGGCGATATGTCTTGCATTGTATTGATCGACATGATTTAGAAAAATCCTGTTGTCTGACACAGGAATATCTATTTCATCTGCTTTTGCATCGAGTATTGCTGGAGGAGAACTTATACGAAATTCAGGCTGTTGATCAGGTTGGGTAACCTCACTCATTTTTATCAAGAACTTATTTATTGTATTATTACATGACAGTCTGAATTAAAACAATTATGATATGAACTCGTAACTAGATCACAAATATTATTGTTTATTTATATTTATAAATAGTAATAAATTAAATATTATGGCATTACACTTTTATGTGGAAAAATTAAATTAGTTCAAATCAATGCTGGGAATTCAGCGTTGTGGTACCAGTCAGGGTACCTGGAATTGATGGCATTCCTGTATGGACGATTGTAGCTAGCTCCTCTATCCTCACTATAATATTTACGCCTATTGCAATTGGGAACATAATCCTGATTACTAGCAGATTGTCCTCTGTAGTTGTAGTTCCTAGCTGGAACATAGAAACGCCTTTTTGCAGCTTGCTGCCTTCTGTAGGCAAACAAAGGTCTGAAAACTATACCAGATTCAGCAGTATTCATTCCTTCATCGAAATTTTCACTGGAATGAGCCATTATGGCTTGCCCTTGCTCATTAGTCAAGACTTTAGTGTCAGACTTGACATCACTTAATGGCAATGCTATAATTTTTTTCTTCAGAATATGATCATCAGGTATATCAGTGTGCATTTCATCAGGTTTTATTTCAATAGCGTTAGAAGGAACGGTTTCATGATGTTCAAGTGCTGAGAGAACGTAGAGGTTCTGTGCAGTAGAAGAAAATGGTTCTATAGTTGTAGATTCAAGAGGATGTGCGTTAATTTCGTAGAGATTGAGTGTGCAGATAGAAAAAAGAAGAAATATCTGAAAATATGGAAAATTTTAAATCTAGGCAATCAAATTTACACCTATTTTATGTACTTACGGTTCTCATTGTTTGGCTTAGTTATAAACTGGATAATATCACTTTAAATTGAGTTTAAATTAGAAGCATGTGAATTGTTCTTGAACTTGTAGCACTCGATATTCGAATGAGTAAAAAATGCGCGGAGTTTGTTTTATATATGTTTGCAAAACTTTTGAACTCTCGACGTGCAAACAGTCTTTTCACTTTTTTGACGCGACAGAACAAAAACAATACGCGTCTTTATGTTGGTGGGCACGCCGCATTTGTTTTCGTAATTAGCGGTTCATTCCGGTACTTTCGGACACACAAATCGTGAACATCTTGTTTCATTTGGTAGTTCAATGTCAAAATATTTATGTATTAAGATTCCGGCAAAGTGTTGATAACCCATTGAGTGAGACACGATAAACTTTCAATCTTTCCTCGAATTACACGATTTGTTTATTAGCACTTGCGTTGTAAAACTGTAAAATTATTCGTCAATTATTTATCAATTTATTGATTCTCGCTAATCCAACTTTACGGATATGATAATTAGCAACATTTTTTAAATTTTATTGTTGTGTCCGACAGTTGACATTGTCTAATATAAATGTAATTTCAAATTTTAATTTTTTTCGTGATTTCGTTTCTATTATGAACAAATCTGTTCATAATGGATTCGGCTATAAATCCCGAAGAGCTAAGTGCGCTTTCAAGTACATCGGACTTTAGTACTTTAAGCGAAACAACCGAAAATTTATCTGCATCATCACAAATCACGCTTATTTCTACGGAAGGGAGTGCTGCTATTGCAGAAGATCTTAGAGAGGAAATTAGTGAAAATATTATCCAGAAACCTGCCCAAATGAAACTCGTAACCGAATATAGTTTCGGCCAACAGTTGCGTATGCAAGCCCAACAAATGGCAAAGTATTTACGAAATCGTACCGGAAATGATGCTAGCGGTGCGCTAAAAATAATTTAATTTACAGTTTTGCCTAGAAATAGCACTAAAAATAGCTTTGATGTTTATCTTCTTCTAACACACTATAAAAATTATTGTTTGTTTTTAACTCTCGACTGGTTGTCAGGTGTTAGTCATATTCGTTAACGCGTTAATTGTCTAGTATAAGGTAATTACAAGGCGTTTAGTCATATTTAATTGCTTCTTACGCGGTTTACCACCTTGTTAATTGCCGGCAGGACATTTCAATGTGAAATATCTTAAAGTTATTAATTTGGAATTTCCAAACTTTCAAGAATACTTTACTTAAAATGAAGATTTCTAGGTGAATTAACACAAGATCCAGAGTGTTCTGATGATCATTCAACAAAGAACACTGATGATCTTTTACCGAAAAGTAAAAGTACGATTCTGGAACAAAATGAAACGACAGATTGTTCGGAAACGATTGAATCTGGTGATTTGGACAATGAGCAAACCAGAGAGTTACTCAAACACTATCTGGAGAATTCCGACTCGGTTGATGCGCTTAAAATTTACAAGCTGGAACCTTTGAATTACCTTAAACAAATAGTCACGGTATAGATTATTTAAAGTTACCCTTTTAAGGTATTTTGGGTTTATTTGTGTTTGTGTGACTTTTAGCACATAATGGAAGTCTTCAATTTTATGGTCTTGATCTGCTCGAGCAAACAGTTCTGGAACACTGCGTTGGTTATTGCGAATATTTTAGCGGCCGTATTCTTTTATTTGGTACTGGCTGTTTCGACAATTATCGTTACACTAATTTTAAATGTGCATGATGCCCTGGAAGCAAACGAAGACGACAGGGATAAGAATGCGAAAAAAGAAGAAATGCAAATGCAGAAACTTCCTCCCAATATTGATGAATTGAGTCTTTAATCAAATGAATATCAAAATTATTTATTCCGGCAAATACTCTAAATTAATAGTTGATATTATACGATGTCAGTAAAAGAAGAATTTGGAAAAACATGTTTTTTAATATTCTTGTAATGACACTAATAAAAACGCATTAAAATATTCCCGGTGATAACAGATAAAAGATATAACATTAAAATTATCAAAAAACAGGTCTTTGTTCTCGCAGAATTTCGTATAAATATCATTCGTGTTAGGTCGGATGGCATTCACTTGTTTGTGATCGACTAATATTTAATACTAGTTATTTACACAATTGACAACATGAAGTTGGTAAGTCATTCTTGTGTTTAGTTAAATTCTATATAATTATAGTCTAATATTTTATTAGGTATTATTTGTGACCCTATTGGTGGTTATTGTGGCTGTGGTTTATGGACAATTGAAGGATGAACGGCAAAGTGGTCCTCCGTTAGTGCGTACTGCCAGAGGGTACCATCATCATGGTGGTTACGGACATCATGGTGGATATGGACATCACGGAGGGTATGGGCATCATGGCGGGTATGGTCATCACGGAGGATATGGACATCATGGGTACGGCCATCATGGCGGACATCATCATGGAGGTTATGGATTTAATTTCGGAATTGGTTTCTAAATTCAAAACTCCACGTGTAGCCATTGACCTTTCTTTAGGTATAAACTTATATAATATCGTTGTTTCTTTAAATGACTAATGGGTTTTGATGTGATTAAAACTAATGTTAGTTATTATGGTGTTCTTGAGTTTTTGACTTGGGTTTTTTTCTTAGATAAGTTCTATCTATTGTTTTGTACACTATAAAAAATATAAAAAGAGAACTCAAGCAAATATTAGTTCAGTTGTTTCTTATTTCTTCAACCTATAGTTGCAAATGTTCATTATTTCAACAAACAATGGTAGGTCTAAATCTACAGTTTATAAAAGTTAGAAGTGTAACAATAAATTCTTCATATTTTTAGGCAATAATAACTTTGGCGTTCATAGTAGTGCTTGTTGCTGTTTTTACCAATAATGCTAATTGTGATGACTTGCCGGTGAAAACAAATTTAGCTCCCATAAACCCAATCGAAGCAGCCAAACTAGTGGATGATCCAAATCTAGAAGGGCGTTTTGGATATTCTGGATACGCTCGTAATAATGGATATGGTTATGCAAACAATGATAGAGTATATCAACCAGGAATACAAGTTAGTACTGAACAAAACCAAAAACGGTTTAATCCACCAATAAATAATTATGGCCCCCAAACGTTCCAAAATGGCCAAAATAATCCTAATCCAATGGGAGTAAATAGACCAACTGGATATGGAGGTGTAACTTATGGTAAAGGTGCGGTTCAAGGCCAAGACCAAGGACAAGGTTTTGGTAACAGTAACTTTGGACAAGTTGGGCATGGAGGCTTTGGTTTAGAAGATCAATACAATCCCAATATCCAAAGTGGGTTTGACAGTGTTTATGGACAACCTAATAATAATAATTTTGGACATCATGTCCATCGGTACGGCCAACATGATTACCCACACAAACCTTATCAACATGGTCATGGATATGGTTATTATTATAAATATGGGCAAGATGGTAAATATGATCAAGATGGTTTTGGTCAAGATAACTATGGTTACCAATTCCAACCAGATTTTATACGTTATCTCCAGGGGCATAATCAAGACAGATCTAATTTTGATTACGGTTCTGGTTCTTTTGATTCACAACCATCATTTGATCATTATGATGACAGACAGTATTATTGGAATAGAAAGTAATTTATTATTTTACATTTAAGTTGATTTGTGTTTTTGAAGTGAAAACTTCTTTAGAATCGTTGTGATTTTAAAATTAATGAAACGACACTTCAAAGAGACAAACATTTGTTTATATGGTTTAGCCTGCAAGAGAATAAGAGAACACAAATATACAGTGTTTCCTATTATCTTCGTCTCCTATTTTTGCCAAGCTTCGTAGCTAGCCGCAAGTCACTTGATTCTGAATATTTTCTGAATAACTATGCTATACTAACGTTCTTCAAGTGTGCCAAAAACTAAAGCCGGTAAGTGTCGTGAATATCGGCGGAAAAATATTACATAATTTTATACCTTGTCCAATATTAAAATAAACTAGCTTTAACTCGCGGCTTCGCTCGCGAATATCTAAAATACTGAAGTTGCTTCCGTACGCGTCTGTAGTCACAGAAGAAGTAACAATGAAGTAGAATGGCGGGAAGTTTAAAATGGCTGAAAGTATAGTGTACAGTCTCTATAGTGTAGTCAATTGGATTTGATGTTGACGTAGCTGTCGGTAATACAGTGTGATAATACAGTGTGATGGTACTATAGTACTTAGGTTTGAGCTTCATTGCTGGAAAGCTAGATGGCGTTAAAGTAGTCAAATAGCCTGATGTAGAGGTATTATTGGCTAAACAATTTCTTTTTTTTTTATTTAATAAATAATTTTTTTTATTAAATAAAAAGTAGCCTATAACCATTCGGGGACCACTAAGAATATGTGTACAAATTTTCATGATGATCGGTTAAGTAGTTTTTGCGGGAATGTGTAACAAACATCAGGACTTTCGCATTTATAATATTAGTAGGGATAAACCCTATAATTATCCCACTCCGGATACTACTTTCGTCTCATTCTCTCACAGTGCAGTGTTCTGAAGGTTTTACTTCTATCGCGTGTGAACTGCACACATGATTTTTATTTAAATTTCTATCGGCTATAGAATTTTTCAATCTTCCATAATCCTTATTTTTCTGGTTGCTATCTCTTTTAATTTAGATGATATTCACTGTCAAATGTTGTAGAAATAAATTATCAAGCATTTTTCATAAAGTCTGTAAATATGGTGTAGGAAACACCCTGTATCTCGAGAACGAATTGACATGTGTAAAGTTTGCACGGCCATATTAAAGCTCGAGAGTTTCTCTACACCATATATATATTGTCAATCTTCTAGCCCTTTTAGAAGTGCCCCGAAACTCTCTTTAAAAATTGACATTAAAAAAAAAACATGGCGCGCAAAACACCCTGTATCACGCGAAGTAATTGACTTTTTTGACGTTTGCCACCGTTATTTTGAAGTTCGAAAATCTCTCTACGCAATGCATCCTCATCAATCTTCTAGCCACTCTCGAAGTGGCCTAAAATGCCCTTAAAAAATTGGCATCTTTTTTTGAATTGAAGACATGGTGTGGAAAACACCCTGTATCTCGTGAACTATTTGACTTTTTTCTAGTTTCTTGTAGCCATGATAAAGTTCGAGTTCGAGAATTATTTGGCTTTGTTGAAGTGTTGCCTAACCCTTCCAAAAGTGCCCTAAAACTCACTTCACAAATACCTATTTTTGTCCCCAAAATTTCATTATTTGATCGAATAACAGGGTCGAACTTTTTTGTTAAAATATTTTTTCGGATAAAGAACAGGGTCGAATTTTTTTCTTAATTTTTTTTTGGTCCAAGAACAGGGTCGAACTTACATTCTTAAAATATTTTTGGTCGAACAACAGGGTCGAACTTTTTTGTTTAAAATATTTTTCGGTCGAAGAGCAGGGTCAAACTCTTTTGTTAAAATATTTTTGGTGTTAGAACAGAGTCAAACTTACTTTCTTAAAATATTTTCGGTCAAACAACAGAGTTGAATTTTTGTGTTTAAATTTTTTTCGGTCGAAGAACAGGGTCGAACTTAATTTCTTTAAATATTTTTGGTCGAACAACAGAGTCGAACTTTTTTGTTTAAAATTTTTTTTTGGTCGAAAAATAGGGTCGAACTTTTTTGTTAAAATATTTTTGGCCGAAGAACAGGGTCGAACTTACTTTCTTAAAATATTTTTGGTCAAACAACAGAGTCGAATTTTTTTGTAAAATTTTTTTTTTGGTCGAAGAACGAGCTTGGACTTATTTTCCTACATTTTTTCGGTCGAACAACAGGGTCGAACTTTTTTCTTTAATTTTTCAGGGGCATTTTTGAAAGCGGCGAGATTAAATTGCGATTATCTCGAGACTTAAAAGGGCTACGGAAAAAAGGACTTCAAATTCCTGATCTTAAAAGAATTCTCTACATGATGGCACCCTTTTTAAAACACGATCAAAAATGCATAAAAAAATTTAACAAAAATATTTTGTTATAAAAAAGGCAAAAGATTTCTCTTTTTTATGCTCGAGACTAAAAGTTGAAATTTAGTTAGATAATTTAATTCTATATCGTTTATTTTAGTAACTTTTTTGGCTAGTATTTACCGTTTAGGCCCAATTTACAATTTTAATTAAAGAAAAATTGTATGTAATTTGAATAGCGACAAAACCTTAGTTAGCGTTATTATGATCAAAAAGCTTTATTTAAGAACAAAATTTTATTAAGATAACGTATGTTGAATTACATGTTCTTCTATATTTGGTAATAAAAAGTTGAAATTTTAATTTTTATATTTTGCTTAGGAAATGATAGAGAAAACGAATAAACCAGTTTTTAGCATTTATCTTGAAAATTATCTATTTATATATATTATATATATATATAAGAAAGTCGTGTTGGTTAACTCCATTATAACTAAAGAACGGCTAATCCAATTTAGCTAAAAATTGGTGGAGAGGTAGCTTAGGGCCAGGAGAAGGTAATGGGATACTTTTTGAAATGAAAACTTTTCTAAAAGGGCACTAAACGACACTAAAAAGAGACAAACATATTTGCGTATATGGATTATCTTGCGGGACAATAAGAGAACGCAAATACAAAGTTTTCTATTATCCCCGTCTCCTCTTTGTGCGATGCTTCGTAGCTTCCCCCCTAAGCATAGACGTGTGTATGTGTGTACGTGTGGGTTGAAGTTGACCGGTTGATGTTTTTGTTTGGAGAAGGTTACTAGGATACTTTTTGAAGTGAAAACACTAAACGACACTAAAAGGAAACAAACATATTCGCTTATATGGTTTAGCGTACGGGAGAAAAAGAGCACACAAATATAATGTTTTCTATTACCTATCTCCGTCTCCTCTTTGTGCGATTCGTAGCTTGCCCCTAAGCATCGACGTGCGTATGTTTGTACGTGTTGGTTGAAGGTGCCCGGTTGATGTGTTTGCTTGAATAAAACTTAGTAAGTGTAGGATACTTTTTTTAATACTTTTTGAAGTGAAAACTTCTTTGGAAGATACTAAACGAGTCTCTTTCTCCGTTTCTTCTTTGTGCGATGCTTTGTAGCTTCGCCACTCAACATGCAGCGACCAAAACGATCAAATCTTATCCGACAAAACCGTAATGCAACTAGGATTCGAAGGATTGCGAATGAAAGGACTGAAGAAGAACCAAAAATTGCACGTGAATAGCGCGGTGTTAGAATTACTTGACTTCGTGCTTCTCAATCACAAGAGCAAAGCGAGGCGGAACAAAGTTTGCCGGGTCAGCTAGTTTGAGATAAAGAAAAACTGGTTTCGTATTAGTATACCTATAGAATTAAATTTTACATTAAATAACATGTTAAAATTTACAGTTATCAACACTTATGTAATAATTTAAAATGGTCAGTAACTTAAAAACTAATTAAGATAGCGCAACCAAACTTGGATTAATAGATTCCTGGCATTGTTTTTCAACAGATTGGAAAGTTTTGCGAAAATTGGAGAAACAGTTTTATTTGATCAGTTTTGAATTTACTACCCATTTTCCGAAATATTGATGTTCTCGGAAAACTGACTACATATCTTTCATCCCCTTGGAAAACTCAATAGATTAGCGTTTTCCATTTTCTTCCAGCTTAAAAATTTTTTTTTGAGTCCAAAAAGAGTCAAGTGTAACCTCTTGACTACTTTCAGCCGGTTTTTGTCAACTTTATAGAATCAAAAAATTGAATCTGCCATTTTGTAGAACCTAGTTATGACATGAAAAATGTGTAAAAAATTTCGTTGTAACTTTAATGGTTCTCGAGAAAATTGCATCGGAAAATCATTTTTCAAACTCTGAAAAATATATATTTTTAATCTCATCTTATGTATAATTACATGCTGAACGTTATCCCGTTTTTCGTTTTTGATTATCTTCAGTAGTTCCCGAGATAATTAGTTTTAAAGTAGGTATTGCGGAAAGTACATGTTACAAGTAAATGCGTTTCCTGTTTTTGCGCTATTAATCAGGAAGTTGGGTAAATAATGTAATTATGAGCTTTACTTCACAATGGTCTTATTAGTTTTTAATAATTTTTATACTAATTAAAATGTCAGGCACCTCCGCCAAATTTTGAATAATTAATTCCTTTTTTTAGAAAATTTAATAATTTAATTTTTTAATATTATTTAAATAACTTTTTATTGCTTATTACCAAAGAAAACATCCTTATTGATAAAATATTTTAATAAATATTTGTAATTTGAACTGAAATTAAAAAAATATACGCTAAATTCACACCATATAAATCTACTTTAAATGAAATAATTAAATTCATCATAGGGACTAAGCCAAGAGAGATCACTTGAAATCTTAGTTGTATATATTGATATAAATTAATCATTTATTTAGACTCTGAAAACAGAAGTTGAAAATTCCTACCTTTAATTTCAGACATAAAAAAGAGAAAAGATTTGACTTTTTTATGGCAAAATCTTTTCATCGATGTTTCGACATGAAATAATTTAATCAAAAAAGTTTGGCCCTGTCTTTCGACCAAAAATAATTTAATCAAAAAAGTTCGGCCCTGTCTTTTGACCGAAAATAATTTAACCAAAAAAGTTCGGCCCTGTCTTTCGATCGAAAATAATTTAACCAAAATAATTCGGTCCTGTCTTTCGACCGAAAATAATTTAACAAAAAAAGTTCGACTTTGTCTTTCGATCGAAAATAATTTAACCAAAAAAGTTCCACCCTGTTGTTTAACCGAAAATATTAAAAAAAACTAAGTTCAACCCTGTTATTCGACCAAATAATGAAAGCTTTGTGACAAAAATGGTTATTTTTGAAGTGCTTTTTAGGGCACTTCTGGGAGGGTTACGGGATTGGAAAGATATGGAATGCGTAAAGAGACTCTTAAAGTTTAATATAGAAGTTAAAAACTTCAAAAAAGCCAATTAGTTCACGAGATACAGAGTATATTGCACACCATGTTTTCAATTTTTTTTTTAAATGCCAATTTTTAAAGGGCATTTTAGGGCACTTCCAAAAGGGTGAGATGATTGAAGAGGAATGCATTGTGTAGGAAGACTTTCTAACTTTTAAACTGGTGTGACAAACTATTATAAATTCAATTAGTTTGCGAGATACAGGGTGTTTTGCGCGCCATGTTTTTAATATTTTTGAAAAATGTTAATTTTTAAAGTGAGTTATGGGGCACTTCTAAAAATGCCAGAAGATTGACAAGATATGCATCTTGTAGAGGAACTCCCGAGCTTTAATATGGCGGTGACAAACTTTAAAAATATCAATTCGTTCACGAGATTCAAGGTGTCTTCCACACCATATTTGCATACTTTATGAAAAATTATTCACATGATTATTTTTTATTTACAAAAGATTTACTCTCGTTTTTCAAAACTTAACCAAATGCCATCTGATGAGTCTAAGTTAAATAAACCTTTGCCAATTTGTATTGGAATCTGTGTTTTAACATCCGGCACAATTTCAAACTGGAGTAAAAGGTAGAATAATAAGATTTTTATCTCCATGAGTGCAAATCTTGATCCCAAGCAACTTCGTGGACCAAGTCCAAATGGCAAGTAGGTGTATGGTATAATATTCTTCTTGTTATCGTCATTAAAACGTTCGGGATCAAATACTTCTGGTTTTGGATAATATTTTGGATCATTATGAATCGGATAGATTGGAATTAAAATTGATGATTTCTCATTTATAACCAATTCGTCCGGTTCATCCTGATAGAAAGGAGATTTTTTGATTTTATACGTCCCACTTGGTAGTCGGTCTGTAAAAGGGCAGGCGGCCATTTTCTTAAACCTTCAGAAATGACCATGTCCATATATTTCATGCCAATTAAAGCATCATAAGTTAAGTTTCCCTTGCATTTCTTCCTTGTGCTTTCTATTTCCTGTCTTAACCTTTGTTGGATATCTTGATGCAAAGCTAACTCATAGGAAATGAATGATAATGCAGTGGAAACTGTTTCAAAACCAGCAATAAAGAAGAACATAACCTGTGAAGTTATTTCAACATCAGTAAAGTCCATTTTAACTTGTTTCCCTTTGCCAAGATCAGATTCTTGAACAACAGCAAATCCATCATCTTGTTCCGGTCCTTCATGTTGTAATTGACCTTTTCTTGCTTCTAGTAAAAGATTTAACATATCAGGTCTTACGATATTCTTCTCTTGCCTGATTTTCAATTGCCCTCTGACAATATTGTAAAAAAAGTCGCTCACTTCTGGTTTAAACGCTTTGATTTTTAGATATTTACCAATACTTTTATGTATTAATGCTAATGCAATTTTAATACTTCTCCAAAAACTACTAAAATTAGTAATGGCAACTCCATTCATATAAAAAGCATTTTCTCGGTCTATAAAAGAATTGCATTTATGACCAAACGCACAGTTGGCAATAACATCCGTTGCAAAACGTCTGTAAGTATCTTTCATTTGATAAGTATTCTGTTTAAGAGAGTTGCTAGCAAAATATTTAGTAAAATCTTTAGCGTTTTCATCAATAAGAACAAACATTGCTTTCATTTTGTTTCCTGTAAATGCAGGGCTAAGAGTTGATCGCATTATTTTCCATTTGTCTGGTGATAAAGCCACAAGGTTTGAGTCCCAAAATGGATCGTTACCAGCAATAATAAAAGTCTGACGGTTAATAAATTGTTCTCTATCTTTTACAGCCAGTTGTTTAAGTAGTTCGGGATCTCTTATCATTAGTATTGGGCGACCAAATTGATAAAAGCCAATGTAACGACTAAAAACTTTCCATTACTTGACATGTTTGTAAATATTTTTCATCTTACCTTGATTTTGTGTCTCGCTTGTAGTTTCGGAGATGTAAATCCATAAAACTTAAAGATTTTGTAGTTGTTTTGAAGTTTTCTTTTAGGGATGTCCACATTGGCGCTTGTTTTACACCTTTATTGTTCCAAAATTGAAAGTTTTTGACATATCTATACAAAGAAATCCCCACCGCAAGTAAAAATAAAAATAACAACATTTTGAATTATTGCTATACTGCAATACTAGCTCAATACAAATAATATTTAACACTCATGAAATGATTTACTAATCAATGTGCTCCATTACGTTATTTCGCAATAATGATAACGTTGAAATTTTAAGTATTATGAAAACACTTGTTATGAGTTGTTGATACAAGTAAGTTTATTTACGTCATTATCTACAGTTAACCATTTTACATTTAAGATTAAATTTTGCATTTTTATCTCATTTTTAAATTCAAAAGTAATATTTATTTTAGATTAATAGAAACTGCAATTTTGATTATATTTAACGTATTTGTTATTCTCGTTTTTGAATTTTTAACCAAATGCCATCTGTAGAATCTAAATTGAACAAACCCTTGCTAATCTGTACCGGAATCTGTGTTTTAACATTCGGAACAAGTACAAACTGATGCAAAAGATGGAAAAACAAAACCTTAAGTTCCATAAGTGCAAACCTAGACCCAATACAGTTCCTTGGACCAAGTCCAAATGGCAAATAAGTATATGGTTTAATATTCTTCTTGTTATCATCATTGAAACGTTCTGGATCAAACTTTTCTGGATGGGGATAGTGTTCTGGATCATTTTGAATTGGATAAATTGGAATTAAAACCGAAGCATGTTCATCAATCACAAGTTCATCTAGCTCATCAGGATGATCAGGTGATTTGTTGATTACGTATTTACCACTTGGTAAACGATCTGTAAAGAGTGCAGGTGGCCATTTTCTCAATGCCTCCGTAATGACCATGTCCATATACTTCATGCCCATAAGAGCATCATAAGTTAGTTGTCCATTGCATTCTCTTAACGTGTCATCGATTTCTTCTCTTAATCTTTGCTGAATTTCTTGATGTAACGCCAATTCATAGGAAATGAATGCTAGTGAACCAGAAATAGTATCAAAACCTCCAACAAAGAAGAACATAGCTTGTGCAGTAATTTCAACATCTGTAAAACCCATTTTTACTTGTTTTCCTTTTCCAAACTCAGATTCTTGTACCATAGCAAAACCAGCAGTTTGTTCGGTTTCTTCATGTTTCAATTGACCATTTCTTGCCTCCATCAAAAGATGTAACATATCCGGACGGACAATATTTTTTTCTTGTCTGATTTTTAACTGCCCTCTTATGATGTTTAAGAAAAATTCACTAGCTTTCGGATCAAACGTTTTTATATTCAAAAATTTGGCTATCTTTTTATGAGATAGTGTAAGGGCAACTTTAATACTTCTCCATAAACTGCTAAAATTGGATATGGCAATTCCTTGCATGTAGAAGGGATTATCTTTTTCAAACAACGAGTTACACTTGTGACCAAAAGCACAGTTGGCAATGACATCTGTTGCAAATCGTCTATAAGTATCTTTCATTTGATATGTTCCTTGTTTAGCTGCATCTTTAGCAAAATAGTTAGTAAAATCTCGTGCGGTTTCGTCCATAAGCACAAACATTGCTTTCATTTTGTTGCTTGTAAAAGCCGGACTGAGTGTAGATCGCATAATACGCCATTTTTCACCAGATAAAGCAAAAAGATTAAAATCCCAGAAAGGATCATTTCCAGGACGTACTAATGTTTCACGATTTAAAAACTTTTCTCTGTCCTTGACTGCAATTTGTTTGAGCAATTCTGGGTCTCTAATCATTAACGTGGGTCGTCCGAATTGATAAAGTCCAATGTATCGACTAAGATTTATATAATATAAATTTTATATACTTAACCAATATTGTGAAATTATTTATAATCAAACTTTAATTTGTACCTTAATTTAGAATCCCTCCTATAATTTCTTAAATGTAAATCCATGAAACTCAAACGTTTTATAGTTGTTTGAAAGTTTTCCTTGATAGATGTCCATGTTGGAGCTTGTTTTACGCCTTTATTCCTCCAAAATTTAAAACAACTTACATAACTATATAAGCCGATAGCAGCCGCAATGATTATTAAAATTAACAACATTTTTAATGATAACTCTACTCCGTTCAAGGCAAAAAACGACACTGATTCAATGAGTATAATAATACTCATTACTAATTGATATGTTGAACTTAACTTGACATGCGCGTTGCAAACTGTAAAAAAATAAAACTTAAACAAAGTACTCGTAATTTACTTTCACGAGTAGGGGAGACCGGGGTTGGTTGTAACATTTTTTTTTTAAAGTGAATTAACTCTTGGTTTATATGGTTGTTTCAAATAAATATTGGCTTGTTTTATTCAGTAATTACTCATAATTCAAATTTGATAATAATTTAATTAAACCGCCCACAATTAATTAAATAAATTGATGAATTCTAGAAAAAGTGTCATGTCACTTCTTACCCCAAACTAGGAGCTGGTTGTTACACTATAAGGGGTAAGTTGTTACCAAAAAAAAATTTAATCTCAGACTTTTTATTAACAACAGTTAGTTTTAACTTCAACAAAAATTAAATAATATTGTTTATAATGGATCATAAAAAAAGTTTAATCGTCAAAATAATATAATAAAGTACCTACTTTTTAATTTTAAATAGAATTATTAGTTTATTTTAAACAAAACTCATAAGTATGGTTTTTTTAGGTATTGCTGTCTTATTAATAGAAAATAGAAATTAAATAAAAGTATAGTTTTCTTTAAATTAAACCTTAGACATACAATTTTTTTAGTTTCTCTGCTTTTCAAAAAAAATTAGAAACTTATAGCTCTCTATATATTTGTGATTTGTCACAACATGCCCCGAGAAAATGTCACTTTTAGCCCCAACACCAAAATTAACCTCTTTAAATCAAACAGTGAAATTCAACTATTTTTTAAGCTAAAAAATTAAACGCATTGCTAACAGAAAGAGTTTTAGAATATATCCCACAATATATATATATCTGTTTTTCTCAATAACAAGTTGCAGACCAAAATAACTAAAAAATAAAAAAGTAACAAACCTGCGTTTTTGGCGGCTGCTTACCCGGGTTTCTCTTACAAGAATGCCAGCGCCACTGGCTCACACGGTATGCTGGCCGATAGTGGCACCACCCTTTATTTCTTTGTAACGTCACTATAGCATTATCGGTTTGGCTACAGTAGCCGCTGTAACAACGTACCCCTGTCACAACCAACCCCGGTCACCCCTACGAACTTTAAAGCTGTATAAATTGATTCTATTTTTGGGTCACTTATTTCACTATCTATTATAAATTCAATTTTATATTATTTCTAGATCATTTAATTGATTGCGATGTTATTCTGTGTACCTACACTTAGGTTTGTGACAAACCGCACTTAAAATAAAGAATTTTTGCATAGAAACTTATATATTTCTAGTGTGTAAAGAAATGAGAAATTTGCAAAATAATTTAGTCGAAGAATATTAGAAGAATATTATTGATAATGAATTGCATCGCATTATTTGATTTTGAGAATTATGTGCGAGTTACGCACCGTGTAAATTAAATCGTCTTTTTATAAGACGGTCTTATCAGAGAGTTGTTTGTTTACGTTAACTTAATTGTATGTCTTCAATATGAACAGAGATGGCACTAGCATGCACTTATTTACGTAAAATTCGACGCGGCGATTTTACGCCTTATTTTGTATCAGTGAGGTAGTTATTTGTTTGTGGTAGTGAGTACTCGCCTGTGTCCATGAGCTACGTGCAGCAGACTTGTTTTCAACAATAGTTTTGATTTTTTTGTAGAATCGGTAAGTTTCCATTGCGTTGAATCTTAAATGCATGCCTGTGCGAAACCAAACGTTGCGTTAAAATTAAATATGGATTTATAAATATTACCGTTATTGGGAATTCATTTAATCCTAATAATTTTAATTTCAATTATTGATTCGGTTAGACGCGCAGCTATAGCTACAACTGAAAAAAATTGTTGCAAAATGTAAATATTAGATTGTTGTTAATTACTTATTTAACTTTATAATATCAATAAATTTAGCAAATTCATATTATATTCGTTGCCATAATCAGTGTTCTTTTAATTTTCTAAGGCTTGTACATAGAAACTATAAAAATACTGGTGAATGACACAGCGGTATTAACTACAGATTACATGCTACTATTCAATGAGCTGACAAATTATTTTTAAAATGGTATCTATAGAACCAAACATATTTATCTTCACAAATGAATACAAACATTAAGTAATTATTAATTATTCATGAAATGTTTTGTAAGAAAGCTTTATACTCGTATTTGTATGATACACTTTTATTTACATAACATTTATTTTTAGAAAGTATATCAGAAAAGATAGCTGGTTTTTACAACGTCAGAAGACATGTCAATTTTGATTTAACAACAAATTTTATGTGCTTTATTTATTAACTATCTTAAATCTAGTACTCAACTCGTTTTAATCCTAACCAATAGCCACCCTTTGCCATAAATATAGAACTTTTCTCTAATTTCATAGGAATGTGTGTTTTTTCAACGGGATACAATTCATAATTAAGCAGTAAATGAGCCAAAATTGTCTTCATTTCCATCAGAGCAAACTTGATGGCAATACAATGTCTTGGACCAACTCCAAACGGCATATAATTATAAGGAGTAATCTTATGTTTGTTCTCATTATTGAATCTTTCTGGATCAAACTTTTCTGGTTCTGGATATATAGAAGGATCTCGATGCATGCCGTATACGTTGAGTATTACAACATTACCAGGATGTAAAGTTACTTTTGGTTCGTTGTAATCTTCAACATTATGAGGAATTTCATAGGTTTTAGCACAAACCCTATCAATCATATTATTAGTCGGCCATTTTCGCAAAGATTCGGAGACTACCATGTCCATGTATTGCATGCCCAGAATGGCGTTATAATTAAATTGATTATTGTGTTTTTCAAAGCATTCCTTAATTTCTTCTCGTAATCTATTTTGAACGTGTACATTGACAGCTAGTTCATACGCGAGTAAGCTCAAAGTAGTGGCAACTGTTTCAAAACCACCAGCAACAAAAAGCATGGCTTGTGCAATGATGTCAAGGTCAGTGAGTTCAGTCAGGCGTAATTTTTCATTGCGATCAATTTGTGAAGGTTCCAACATGGAAAATGTGTCATTGGGCGTTGATTCATTTTCGTCTTCGTGTTTCAAAAGACCTTTCCTGGCTTCCATTAAGAGATGTATCATGTCAGGTCGAATAATGTTCTGTTCTTCACGTAGTTTTAATGTGTCGGTAATGACATTACTAAATACTTTTCTTGTGTTTTCCGAAAAAATTGGCTGCTTTAGCATCTGAAATAGTTTATATTCCGAATTATAATATGTATGAGTATAATAGATATAGGATTTCAAACAACTTACCTTTTTAAAAAAAGTACAAGATTCGCTCAACATAAACTTAAGAATGATTAGAACTCCGCCAAAATTAAAAGCTGACTTAGCAGCTAAATAAATTTCATTGTTGGGGTCCTTTAACGAGTTTACTTGGATACCAAAAGCACAAGTAGCGATAATGTCGTTGGAAAGACGGGTAAATGAATCTTTGCATTCCATGGTAAATTGCGATGGTCCTGCTTTATAAAAATCAACATAGTCTTTTGCTGCTTTGTCAATTAGAGTAAACATTGCTTTCATTTTGGAACCGGTGAAGGATGGGCTGAGGGTAGCACGCATTGCACGCCATTTTTCACCTTAAACAAAATTTAAAAAATAATTTCATTGCGAGGATGCAATAGTTTATTTAAATTTTTACCTTTAAGAGCAAATAAGCCCCGGCACCAAATTGGATCAGCGTCAGGTTCAGCGAAATCTCTATGATTGGGAAAATGTTCGAAATCTTTGACTAACATTGTTTTGATCAGTTCTGGATCTCGTAGAAATAATGCTGGTGTTGTAAATTGATATCCCCCGAAAAATCTATCACCACAATAATAATTGTAATCATTTTATAAAATTAGAATACTTCTGTAAGCTTACCTATAATTTTTGGTTCTTGTGTGAAACTGTTCCCAAAAATCAAAGAAATTCATCGAACTAAATACTGTTTTCTGGATGTCAACGACACAAGTCCAAACATCTGATTGCGGCACATTTCTCTTTGACCAAAAACTAAAAATCTTCTTCACGTAGAAATAAACCAGAGCTGCTAATGCAGCAATAATTCCAATAAACACCCACATTTTTCTTATTTCTAATCACTGCATTGATCTTTAAAGTAATAAAAATGTGCTTTACAACTTGTTACAGTTTGTAACGTAGTTACTGCGAGAATGAAGTGTATTAGCAATGTTTGTTTTCATTAATAAACGAGTGTTATCTTAAAAGTCGGCTTGAACTGAGATGGCGGGAGCATCTCTCGGAATCGAAAACATTAACCCAAATATGCGTCCGCTTCATGCGCAATACAGCTGATAATTGATTAATTTGCAAATTATCATATTACTGAACAGATCAACCAATTGTTTGTAAGCGTTTGCGAGTGGTTTGAATTGATATGAGTAACTGAGGAAAAGCAAGGTCATGATCACAAATGTGATACAAGCGCGTATTACTAGTTCTTTCATTATTGTTGTTTCCCATGCTAGATCCGCTTAAAATATGTAGAAGATAATAAAGCAATAATTAAAAATATTAATTACTGGTGATAGGCACACTTGGGTTTTGCTAATTTTTAGAGGAATTCTTGTTTTATCATTAGCTGCAATCTCAAAATTAAACAATAGATGATTTAACAATGCGATGCAATTTTTCATGATTTTTGTTGTTTTTTTTTTCTGAGTGAAAACAATCAGGATCCATATAAATTTGATGATTTTGATATATTCCATACAATGATATGAGCGCTTTGTCACTTGCATTTTACTGTAGAGGTACTTAAATTTGTTTATATCTGAGAGACGGAATTTTATGTGCTTGAGGTTTTCAGTGATTTGGAAAATATTGAATTAACTATTTAAAGCATAAATTCACATAAGTATGTTGTATCTACCTGATATTATCATATCTAACTATGTCATACGTTTTATTATATTGTTCTTTAATGTGTTGTTATTGCTGTTTTTGTATTTACAATTTCTTGATTTAGTTTTTCCTGTATTACTGGTTTTAATGCTAGTTCATTGCAATAATCCTGTATTAGGATGAAATTGTATCAAAACCAGTCATAAAAAAACACCATCACTTGTGCCGTCATTGACCAATTTTAATTTGAACCTTTATATCTAGATCCTACATATTTGGTCGCTGAATATTACCTACTTTCTGCTCGTTCTTGAACTGTTATTTTGACTACGTTGATAAAAAACTGCGAACATTCTTTGGGAAAAAGTCAGCATATTTATTCATATTTATTTTTATACTGAAATAAAACATATTAAATATCAGTAGATAAAGCAATTATTTGCATTCATTTGCACAGCTTGAATCACGGTGCATTATTCGATTTTGCGTTACGTGCCAGTTTACGCATCGCATGAATTAAATCGTGTTTTTATAAAGCGGTCTTATCAGAGAGTTATTTGTTTACGTTAACTTAACATTATGTCTTCGATATGAACATAGATGGCACTAGCATGCACTTATTTGCATTAAATTCGATGCTGCGATTTTATGCTTCATACAATGTTTGATATGTTTATTGACGACCATGCGTCACGTGCAGCCGAGTTGTTTGTTTTCAACAATTGTTTTGATTTTTTCGTAGGATCGGTTAGTTTACAATACGTTGAATTTCGAATGATGATGAAATCAAACGAGAGTTAAAATTGAATAAAGGGTATTTTTAAATATTATCATTATTAGGAGTTTATTTAATTTTAATAATCATAATTTCAAATATAGATTATATGAGACAAATAAAACCAAGCTAGATATTTGATATTATAATAAATTTTATGTTGAAAATTACAAGATTTTCTTCATATTATCAATAATATTAGCAAATGCACATGATGTGGTTCATTTATTGCCTTTTTTTGAAACTTAACCAAATACCATCCACTGAATCTAAATTGAATAGTCCCTTACTAATCTGAACAGGAATCTGTGTTTTAACATCTGGAACAATTTCAAACTGCTGCAAAAGATGGAAAAACAAAACCTTGAGTTCCATAAGGGCAAATCTAGATCCAATACAACTTCTTGGGCCAAGTCCAAACGGCAAATAAGTATATGGTTTAATATTCTTCTTGTTATCATCATTAAAACGTTCTGGATCAAACACTTCTGGATGCGGATAGAATTCTGGATCATTATGAATCGGATATATTGGGATTGATACCGATGATGTTTCATTTAACACCAATTCATCAGGTTCATCTGGAAAATCAGGAGATTTTTGAATCTTGTACGTTCCAGTAGGTAAGCGGTCCGTGAAAAGTGCGGGTGGCCATTTTCTTAACGATTCTGATATGACCATGTCCATGTATTTCATTCCTATAAGAGCGTCGTAAGTTAAGTGTCCATTGCATTTTTCAAGTGTCTCATCGATTTCTTCTCTTAGTCTCTGTTGAATTTCTTGATGCAGCGCCATCTCATAAGAAATAAATGACAAAGAACTTGAAATCGTATCAAAACCAGCAACAAAGAAGAACATAACTTGTGCAGTGATTTCAACATCAGTAAAATCCATTTTCACTTGCTTTCCTTTACCATAATCAGATTCCTGTACAGTAGCAAAACCTGCGTCTTGCTCAGGTCCTTCATGCTTCAACTGACCTTTTCTTGCTTCCAGTAATAGATTTAACATGTCGGGTCTGACGATGTTTTTTTCTTGTCGAATCTTCAACTGTCCTTTAATGATATCCAAGAAAAACGCACTTGTTTTGGGCTTGAAAGCTGTTACGTTAAGTGCTTTTGCAATATTTTTGTGAATAAGTCCTAATGCAATCTCAATACTTCTCCAGAAACCGCTAAAATTTGAAATGGCAACTCCATTGGTATAAAATGGATTGTTTTTCTCCAACAACGAGTTACATTTGTGACCAAATGCGCAATTTGCAATGACATCTGTTGCAAAACGTCTGAAAGTATCTTTCATTTGATGCGTGCTTTTCTGTTGATTATTATTTACAAAATACGTTGCAAAATCTCTTGCGCTTTCATCCATAAGCACAAACATTGCCTTCATTTTGTTTGTAGTAAAAGCCGGGCTAAGAGTTGACCGCATTATACGCCATTTTTCATCAGATAAAGCAAAAAGGTTGGAGTCCCAGAATGGATCGCTGCCAGGCAAGATAAAATTCTGACGATTGATAAATTTTTCCCTGTCCTTGACTGCGATTTGTTTGAGTAGTTCTGGGTCCCTTATCATTAACATGGGTCGTCCAAATTGATAAAATCCAATAAATCGACTAGAAATGTCAAATTATTAAAACCCTAACAATATTTCAAATAGTTTTAAAAATTACCTTGTTTTAGTGTCTCTTTTGTAATTTCTTAAATGTAAATTCATAAAACTTAAAGATTTTACGGTCGTTTGAAAGTTTTCTTTGATAGATGTCCATATTGGCGCTTGTTTTACACCTTTACTGTTCCAAAAATCAAAACCTTTTATATAACTGTAAATGTAAATTGATACTGCGATGCCAAATAATAATAACAACATTTTGAACGTTGATTGTTCAGTCAGCACGCATTGATGCACTAACTAGTACTGTTTAAATAATGGCGAAGGTTTCAATAATAAATGTATTAAATTAGTATGACTTGCGCATAGAAACTCGAGAATGACACAGCGGTAATAACTACAGATTACATGTAATTATTCCACACTCTGAATAGTTATTTATTAGTTGTTATCTATATATAGAATTAAACATATTTATCTTCACAAATGAATACAAACATGAAATAATTATTAATTAATGTTGAAAAGTTTTGTAGGAAAGCTGTATATTTGCATGATAAACTTTTATTTACATAAAATATATTTTTAGAAAGTAAAGATTAGAGAAATCATGTCGATTTCATTATAATCACAAATTTTATTTTATTAATTTATTAACAAGCTTAAATCTACTGCTTAAGTCGTTTTAATCCTAACCAATATCCACCCTTTGCCATAAATAGAAAACTTTTCTCTAATTTCATAGGAATGTGTGTTTTTTCAATAGGATATAATTCATAATTAAGTAGCAAATGAGCTAAAATTGTCTTAATTTCCATAAGCGCAAACCTGATGGCAATACAATGCCTTGGACCAACCCCAAACGGCATATAATTGTAAGGAGTAATCTTATGTTTGTTTTCATTATTGAATCTTTCTGGATCAAACTTTTCTGGGTCTGGATATATAGAAGGATCTCGATGCATGCCATATACGTTGACCATAACAATATCACCAGGATTTAAAGTTAATTTTGGTTCGTTATAGTCATCAACACTATGTGGAATTTCATAAGTTTTAGAACACACTCGATCAACCATAATGTTTGTGGGCCATTTTCTCAAAGATTCTGAAACTACCATGTCCATGTATTGCATACCCAAAATAGCATTATAACTAAGTTCGTTGTTGTTTTTCTCAAGGGTTTCTTTGATTTCTGCTCGTAATCTGTCTTGAACGTGAGGATTAACAGCTATTTCATACGCGAGCAAGCTCAAAGTAGTAGCAATTGATTCAAAACCACCAGAAACAAACAGCATGGCCTGTGCAATAATGTCAAGTTCATCGAGGTCACTCAAGCGTATTTTTTCATTGCTATCAATTTGGGATGGTTCCATCATGGAAAAGGTATCTTTGTGATTTGATTCATTTTCATCCTCGTGTTTCAAAAGACCTTTCTTGGCTTCCATTAGGAGATGTATCATGTCCGGTCGAATGATGTGCTGTTCTTCACGAAGTTTTAATGTGTTTTTAATGATGTTACTAAAGAATTTTCGAGTGTTTTCGGTAAAAATGGGTAGTTTTAGCATCTGAAACAGTTAATATTTTGAATAATATTAATGTAGAATTAACTATTGGTTTTAAAATAACTTACTTTCTTAAAAGTGGTACAAGAAGCACTCAACATAAACTTGATTGCATTCAGAACTCCTCCGAAATTAGTCGCTTCCTTTGCAGCTAAATAAAATTCATTATTCGGGTCTTTTAAAGAGTTTACTTGGATGCCAAACGCACAGGTGGCAATAATGTCGTTAGAAAGACGAGTAAATGAATCTTTGAACTCCAGAGAAAATTGAGATGGTCCTGTTTTATAATAATCAACATAGTCTTTTGCTGCTTTATCAATGAGAGTAAACATTGCTCTCATTTTGGAACCGGTGAAGGATGGGCTGAGGGTAGCACGCATTGCACGCCATTTTTCACCTTAAACAAAATCAAAAATTAATTTTAATGAGGGGACGCAATAATTTATTTAAATTTTTACCTTTAAGTGCAAATAAGCCCCTGTACCAAATTGGATCAGCACTAGGTTCTACAAAATCTCTATGATTGGGAAAATGATCAAAATCTTTGACTAACATTGTTTTGATTAGCTCTTGATCTTGTAGAAATAATATTGGTGTTCCAAATTGATATCCACCAAAAAATCTATCACCACAATAACAATTGTAATCATTTTATAGTTTTTGAATAACTCCTGGTTTAAACTTACCTATAATTTTTGGTTCTTAAATGAAACTGTTTCCAAAAGTCAAAGAAATTCAACGAACTAAATAATGTTTTCTGGATGTCAACGACACAAGTCCAAACATCTGATTGAGGCACATTTTTATCAGACCAATAACTAAAGTTCTTCTTCACGTAAAAATAAACCAAAGCAGCTAATGCAGCAGTTATTCCAATAATCAGCAACATTTTTTTAAAATTTTTAATCACTGCATTGATTTTTTAACGAATCAAAATGCACTTTACAACTTGTTACAATTTGTAGCGTAGTTACTGCGAGAATGAAGCGTATTTGCAATGTTTACTTTCATTAATAAACGAGTGTTATCTTAAAAGTTGGATTGAACTGAGATGACGGGATCATCTGTCGGAATCACAAACACTAATACAAAATGCACGTCCACTTCACGCGCAAACCAGCTGATAATTGATTAATTTTTAAATTATCATATTACTTTACAGATCAACAAGCAATTGTTTTTGAAAGCGTTTCCGAGTGGTTTGAATTGATATGAGTAAATGTGGGAAAGCAAGGTCAAGATCACAAACGTGATACAAGCGCGTATTAATAGTTCTTTACATTTTAATCACTATTGTTGTTACTGATCTAACAGTAATAAGTAAGTATTAGCACATTCGGATAATACGGTGTTATTTAAATCAAATAATAGTATCTAAAGCATAACCTCGTCTTATTTTAAAATTAAAAATTAAAATTTAACGATTTTCGGTTTTTCTTGCCTTTAAACCTAACCAAATACATTTTTCTGATGATAGACTCATGTGGGCTTTACCAATTTTTAGTGGAATCTGTGTTTTATCAGTTGTTACAATCTCAAAATTAATTAATAATTGAACTAACATTGTTTTCATTTCCATGAGTGCAAATCTTGCAGCAACGCAATTTCTCGGCCCCAAGCCAAACGGTAAGTAACAATAAGGATTTCTTGACTTTTTGTTCACCTCGGTGAATCTTTCAGGGTCAAAACAATCTGGATCCGGATAGATTTGATCATCTCGATGGATTCCAAACACTGATATGAGCACTTTGTCACCTGCATTCAAGAGTACTTCAACTTCGTTATCTCTGAGAGGTGGAATTTTATGCGCTTGAGTGCAACACCGTCCTACTAAGAGAGCAGGCGGCCATTTTCTCAGTGATTCTGAAAATTTTATTTTATTGAATTTACTATTTCTAAAACATAAATTTACTTAAATATATTGCACCTACCTGATATTACCATATCTAAATATGTCATACGCTTTATAATATCATAGTTTAATTTGTTGTTATTGCTGTATAACGTATTTAAAATTTCTTGATGTAGTTTTTCCTGAATTACTGGATTTAATGCTAGTTCATAGCAACAAAAGCTGAGTGCTGTGGAAATTGTATCAAAACCAGCCATAAAAAACACCATCACTTGAGCTGTCATTGTTTCATAAGTCCAATTTAAATTTGAATTTTTATTTCTAGCTTCAATTAACAAATCGATCATATCTGATCGATGAATATTATTTTCTTCTCGCTTTTGAACAGTTGTTTTGACTAAGTTGATAAAGAAACTGCGTACGTTCTTTGAGAAAAAGTCAGCATTAATGTACTAAAATCAAAATATATTGAAAGTTTGTAATTATAAATACTATAAGAATTACTTTTGATAGTTTTGGTATATTCAGTGCTATCAAAAACTTCAAAGTCCTTACAAATCCAACGGGGCGCGAAGCTAATGCCATTTTGTACATTTCGTTAGTGGGATTTTGTAATGAATCACATTCGATGCCTAATGCACATGTTGCAATTACATCATTTGCAAACCTCATGAAAGAGTCTTTAGATTCGATTTCTATTGATTGAATTTCTTTGGTTTCTAGTATGGTTTTGTAATAATTAACATAATTAATTGCGGCGGTGTTGATTAATTCAAACATTTCTCGCATTTTAGCTCCTGTGTAAGCTGGGGAAAGAGATACACGCATGCATCGCCAATCGTTACCTAAAATGATCAAAACCTAATATTTAGAAGCAGTTATAAAACTTATTACTGTACAAAGTAATGTATCTTATAATAGTATCTCTTATAATAGTAATATAACTTGATCAGAGATGGTGCTATGATGCTCTTATTTGCCATAAATTTTCAACGGAGAATACGAGTCTCTTATCATTAAATATTCTGTGACGCGAGGCCATGCGTGAACGCATTTCACATTTTATAAAGTATTTTATAAATTTCTCAAACCTGGTAATGCAAATAAACTCTTTGAAAAGATGGGATCCACTTCGGAGTTTACAAAACTTCGTCGATCCATAAAGCAATTAAAATTTTTGATCATAATACTTTTAATAAGTTGTGCATCCTTTAAGAATAAAACGGGTGAAAACATTTGATAATCACCGTAATATCTATAACGAAATTTAAATTATAATAAACTGAAACTTAAAAATTATAGCAACGGATAAATTATAAATACAAAACCTATTATGTTTATATTTATTGTAGCTGTCACGCCACGATTCAGCGTATGAACGAAAACCAAAAAAAGTTGTAAACATGTTCCAGCAAATTGTTGTGATATTATCTTGCGGCACATTGATCCGATTCCAATAACACAGTTTCTCAATGGTTTTACACCAAATATGTAACACCAAAACTAAGGAAGGAAGGAAAATATTAAAATCATTATACGTATTATTATGAATATTAAAAAAATACTAATTGAATAATGGAAATAACACGTTTATATGTGTCTAGAACGTGTTTTAATTAGCACAACAAGTAATTAAATTTGGGTATTATCAATACTACAGGTTTTTCTTTTTTATGAGTATTGTCGCTAATCGATTCGCAAAAAATAGTTTCTAGGCAATCGTGCTGTGGAAATAAATAAATATACGAAAATAATGCACTTGTGGATATAACTTGATGGCAGGGCTGCCAAACCAGAGAACGGAAAAATATTAAAATATTTTTGAAAATTTGAAAACATCTCAAGCCTCCTAATGTATTTGATTTATTTCCAGTTTCTAGGTAGCCTAAAAAAGTTCATTATTTTATAATGAAATCTCTAACACAAGCAACAAGGAATTGAAGCTTTTACTATTTGCCACCGTGTGACACTACATGTACTAAATATTCATAAAATAAGGTTAAGTAACATGAATTCGTTGATTACTTATAATTTCCTCAAATTTGGTAATACTTCAGGGAAATTTATATACAATTTTTGTTGGAGTTTCTCTTAAAAGTAAGAAACATTTTCTGGTTTATATTATTCTCAACTTTCATTTCTGTTTTTATCTTTAATTACTCTTGTGCGAGTTTCTGTTTCCGACTGGTGTTTATAGCTAATATCATGACTCGACAAAGTTATCAGCTCGTACGAGTATCTCCGGCTCATTGGCTATCCGGCCGGCCGGCTCATTGGCACCGTCGACGCTATCGCTCGCATCAATTCAATTGCATTCGATCGAACGCGGCTCGCGCTCGTAAGCGGCGAATTTTCCAAGCGGACCATTTTCCATTGTTCGCAGGACGATTTTTACGCCGTTGGCTGACGATTTGCGAGTTGCGCTTTTGTCCACACTAGGGCCTTTGTTGGTGTCCATGAACTCGCGTCTCTTGTTCTCTCGTTAAGTTGTTTATCATCGCGCACACTAATGGCCGACGCCCTTTTTCGATTTGTTGCGAATCCAAAAAACGAAACACACAAACACGCCGAAATCGAAATGTGCATCCGAGCAACAAAAGAAGATGACTCGTTTACGATTATGCGTTACGATGATCATAAATTCAGAGTAGGTTTAGTACTGCTTCCTTTTTATCTTAACCATAGGATAGGAATAAAAACATTTGTGATTTGAGTGGTGTATTGGTTTAAAACGTGAAAAACTCGTGTTTTTAACATTGTACTGGTGTAATAAAAGGGTAAATTAACTTTTGTCATTTGGCAATGCATCCGATTGCAAACTCAATCCGGCAATGACGACGACAACAGTAAAAAAGTCACAACGCCATCACCGATCGAATAAAAGTTTAAACGATGCGATTTCACGTTTCCGAGTTGCAATGTTTGCCGCGTGCTGGAAAATGCAATTTTTGACAATTTTAGGATTGCTTTTTCAGAAATTCGCAACGCGGGCAAACAATATCAACAATTTGGTACCAACTTTCAATTAGATACAATTTTTTTACAAAGTGAAAAATTTGAAGTAAAAAGCAATATCATTAAATTCATATTTTAATTTATATAATCGACGTTTTTATACCATCCGGCACATTATTCCACGCCTCTTGAGCGGCTCGAAATTGCGAATGTTGTGAATATATATGTGCGTGTGTACTGTATAAGCGAATAAATGATAAATTAGATTAAACGTGGCAATTTCAATAAATTTTGCGCTCGCGTTCAATTCCAGTTCGTGCGCGTTTTTGGATGTGTGCCATATCAGATGGTCGAGTGGTTGCATACGTTATTTCAATTTGCGACAGTTTATATTATACATTATTAAATATATTTTATATTTTATCCGCCTGCTGGTCGGATTAAGCTATGAAACATTCGTTCAATTCGATTTCGTCGCGTTCACACATTTCAGTTTACACAATTTTGCAGGTTTCCACAAAAGTGTCACAAACAAATTCAAAACGAACGAATGACCGACCGTTCTGCATTCGGCGTCGGCTAATAGTTATCACAGATAATTAAATTAAATCAAACAAAAACGATGAAATTGGCGTGTGAAATTGGCTACCACTAAAAAATAAATAAATAACAACCATGACGAATGATGCTGAAAAATACAATCCATCAATATGTCGTTAATGAATAAAAAATAATCATAGTTAAATATTGGTTTAAATAAAACTTACGCAAGCAATTTGAAGTTTTAATGCTCGCAAATTACAAATTACAGTTTGCTGGCTAATTACGTAATTAATTATTCAATTAGCGTGAACAAACTTCGTTAACTAACCCATATCGATGGTTGTATCGCTGGATCGTTCGAAAACGCTCGTTGATATCGCAACTATACGAATACCATCACTTGGCGCATGTTGAAAGTGTCGAGTGCCTTGGGTGTTGAGAATGGTTGAGAACGTCGATGGCGTCGAGAGTGTTGAGGGTGTCGACACTATTGGGATCGGCGATGAAAGTTGGCGCGACACGCTCACCCCTGCAAGTTTCGAATTATCAGCAAATTGCTCGTGTATTTATAACCGTGCGCACCACACACGTGGAACGTCCAACACACCTGTCGTGGCAGGTCGTGTCCTCAAACTCTTCAGACTGGAAAACGGCAGCGATGTGGCATACAACAATGTTCAACGATGGGCGAACGAGGGATGCTGGCACGCGAAGGTGTGAGGTAGGTGCTTGGGGCACTTTTGTCGCTCGCATCAATATTGATTTCGTATTAACAGCACATCCTTAGGCACAAACATCATGCGCAAAAAAATATCCGCGTCATAACCTCAAATATTACTGCCTACTTAATATACAGTTCAGGTCATTGAAATATAGATGTCGCTGGTGGGAAAATTTAATTTTCGCCTTGGTCTATATGTCAGTAGGTATACGGACGTGTCTGATGGAAACTAAATATTTGAACAATGCATAGAGTTTCACCTACGTGCACGTGCTTGTTTTGCGTTCACATCTTGCCGAGTTGGCTGATTGTATCAGATTTTTGAATATTGCATTCGGTGTATATTCGGAAATTCAGTATTCTTTTGACTCGTCGTTACGCAGCGCATTTCCGGCGAAAATCCCGAGCATTATCAGAAATATCAGGAATATCAAGTGAATATCACATGCGATCGTGTCGTTTTGAAATAACATTGTCTGACAATATCTGGCGATGACTGCAAAAGAACGTTCTAGTTTTCTAGTTTCATGAAAACTTGCAGGCAAAGTTGTGCAACTTTCGAAATAGAAAACATAGTCAACACAGTCCACATTGAAATGTGAATTCGAAAATGGTGAATTTAACCAAAAGAAATCATAAACAGATGTGTGTAAACTACACAAAAGATGTCGCTGCTTGTTTGGGTGTATTTAAGCTTTGAATCTATTTTTTGTTTGTTTTTGTTTTGTTAACGCGCGAGTAATTTTTAAAGATATTTATCACGCTTACGTGCGAGCTTTCGCTTCGCGGATTTGTTGTGACGTTTCGGGTGAGATATGGCGACGGGCGACAAAATGCGCGTTACTTAAGGAATATTTTCACACCGATACACTACCATCAACATTTTCCAACCACGAAACCACCGAATATTTTGCTGGGGGTGCAGTGGGTGGACGCGTAGGTGGGTTCTGATGATGTAGGTGGCTAATGGCGGTTGAGACCAAACGCGGCGACGACCTTCGCGCACGAACCGATAATCTAACACGTTTATACGTGTGTAATGGAGCGAATTCTGATGCCGCCACCGCCAGCGCATTACCAGCACACATCGGGGGCGGTGGCACATAATCACATGCCCGTCGTGCACACCCACGTAAAATAAAGAGTTTGCATGATATATTTTTTGCTTGTGATGGGCGATCATTAACGATTTTTACTAATTTTAGATTCATTAAACACCCTGTATGTAAAATACTATGTATATGATTACAATATTTATTACTTACATTTTTGTTTATCATCAGTGAGAATCATTTCATATTCCGGCAATTATGATGTCAAAAAATAAAGATACGCGCAAATTTACAGTAAAAACATAAAGCCCGCGGACAATAAACACCCGCCGGGCGAATAAATTATGACCTGTCACTTTTTGCCCTCTCTCAACTTCAACAAATTGCCATGGCGTCCTTGTCGCGCCTACAATGGCGGCAGTGGCGGCGGCACTGCACAATGTTCGCTGTACCTGGATATCGCTTGTTCCAATCGTT